ACTCACCCACTCACTCAACTACTCACTCAACCACTCACTCACTCACCCATCCACCCACTCACTCACTCACCCACTCACCCGCTGACTCACCCAATCACTCACTCACCCGCTGACTCACCCACTCACTCACCCACTCACTCACTCACTCACCCACTCACTCAACCACTCACTCAACCACTCACTCACTCACTCACTCACCCACTCACTCACCCATTCACTCAAACACTCACTCAACCACTCACTCACTCACCCACTCACTCACTCACTCACCCATTCACCCACTCACTCACTCACCCACTCACTCAACTACTCACTCAACCACTCACTCACTCACTCACCCATCCACCCACTCACTCACTCACCCACTCACCCGCTGACTCACCCACTCACTCACTCACCCGCTGACTCGCCCACTCACTCACTCACCCACTCACTCAACCACTCACTCAATCACTCACTCACTCACCCACTCACTCACCCACCCACTCGTATTTGAGGGGGGGGGGGGGGTCTGACTTTTTGTGACGCCGTGTGACGAAGAGAGGGGGGGAGGGTCAAAAATCGTCCAAAATCGCGTGACTTCTTCATTTATGAACGGCACCCTTAGGACCTCATACGATCCAGACGCTGAACGCAGTGAGTCTGACGTGGCCATTGCGAACCGGGGGCAATTCAAGGCTGTCCCCTGAACGCGAGCTATCTGACCGCAGTTTGCTAATCTTCGACCGTGGGAGTGGTGAGTGAATGGGGTGGGGGGGGGGTGACATCCAGACCGCCGATCAGCCTCAACGGAGAGTCTGACGATAAAATGTCCTGACCTCGAGTTGCGGCGCTAGACCTTGAACCTATTCCCATCCATCTAGATGGTGATGGTCGCTGCTCAAACGGCAGCCCAACTTTGACACGTGGTGTGATTGGTGTTGGGTGGTGGCGTGATTGGTGATGGAGTGGTGATGGCAGGTGGCGTGATTGGTGATCGAAGGTGGTGTGATTGGTGATCGAAGGTGACGTGATTGGTAATGGAAGGTAGAGTGGGTGGTGGTGGAAGGTGGAGTGGGTGGTGGAAGGTGGAGTGATTGGTGGTGGAAGGTGGAGTGATTGGTGGTGGAAGGTGGAGTGATTGGTGGTGGAAGGTGGAGTGATTGGTGATGGCAGGTGGCGTGATTGGTGATCGAAGGTGGTGTGATTGGTGATCGAAGGTGACGTGATTGGTAATGGAAGGTGGAGTGGGTGGTGGTGGAAGGTGGAGTGGGTGGTGGTGGAAGGTGGAGTGATTGGTGGTGGAAGGTGGCCTGATTGGTGATCGAAGGTGGCCTGATTGGTGGTGGTAAAGTGGAGTGGGTGGTCATCAAAGGTGGAGTGGGTGGTCATCGAAGGTGGCGTGATTGGTGGTGGAAAGTGGCGTGATTGCTAATCGCAGGTGGCGTGATTGGTGATCGAAGATGGAGTGATTGGTGATCGAAGGTGGCGTGATTGGTGTGGAAGGTGGAGTGGGTGGTGGTGGAAGGTGGCGTGATTGTTGATCGAAGGTGGAGTGATTGGTGGTGGAAGGTGGCGTGATTGGTAATGGAAAGTGGAGTGGGTGGTGGTGGAGTTGGTGGTGGTGGAGTTGGTGGTGGAGGGTGGCCTGATTAGTGGTGGTAGGTGGCGTGAGTGGTGATGGGTGAATAAACCAACGCCGACGGCCGTGACAAACGCAAACACAATGCGGACGCAAAACCTCAATAATTGTCACCGGGCCCTGCCATGGTTTGTGGAGCTTGGGAGAGGTGCCAACGGGCACCTGTGGGCAATGATGGCATGCCTCATCCCCAACAGACCATGGCATCTTCTTGGTTCTTTCGGTAAAGTCACGTAGAAGGGAAATAATAAAATAAAAAAAATAAAACAGAATAAAATACAATTCTCACGACGTTTTGGCCACAACGCAAGCAGCCGTCCTCAGGTGAAATTTCAGACGCTGTCTTTCCGACAGACCTGTTCTTCACCTGAGGATGGCTGCTTGCGTTGTGGCCGAAACGTCGTGAGAATTATTTTATTATGTTTTATTTTTATTATTTTATTATTTCACTTCTACGTGACTTTACCGAAAGAACCAAGAAGATGAATCCCTGCAGTCACGAAAGCTTTAAATCGAAATTAGACCATGGCATGTCACCTTCGGACCTTCGCGCACAACGCTCATTTCGTGCCTGGGTCCGGGAGGTGTTCAACCTGGCAGCCTCCCGCGTCTCAGAAACTCGTCTAAGGGACACTTGGACGTGGACGGGAAGAGTCGTCTGAGGAGGCATAATGGGGGAACCCTATTGGACATCAACGGGCGGCACATTCTCCCTCCCGTACATGAGGAAGAATTCTAGATTCGAAGCTTTCGTGACTGCAAGGATTCGTATTCTTGGGTTTTTTCGGTAAAGTCACGTAGGTAAAAAATTAAAATTAAAATTAATAAAAGTAAAATAAAAATAAAATAAAAATCACGACGTTTCGGAGGCAACATGTGGAACCATCACAGCACGCTTGCTGTATCAAGTGAGAGAAATTTCAAGAAAACAGTCCTTGTATATATACTGGTTAAGGGTGGGAGGAGCCCAGGTAGGCCCTGGATATTATTATTGTGAGGCTGAAGCACGCTGTTAGCAATGTGCCTTTGTTGTGTAGACTGGTTGAAAAGAGTTGTTAAGGTGAGGCTGATGTATAGGTGCGTGTAAATGGGACTGAGCCTTTTGTTATGTAGAGGTGGTGAGGCTGAAACCGCTGCCAGGAATGAGTCTTTGTTGTGTAGACTGCAGGGGCGGTTTCTTCATTAGGACGATTGGGCGACGCACCACCAATGTCATTCAACCACAGAGTCACGCTAGCCGTCACTGCAGCCTCTGGATATAGTCCAATCAGCGTCATGTCACGTTCTGTGGAGTACCGCCTCTTTTTGGGCGATTTCACTCCTGGCTGAGAATCGCCCCGAGTGTTCCCATAGACTTACATTCAAAGATGTTTTTTTTCGAACGGGGGCGCTGCAATGCATTCTCTATGGCTTCCGGGAGGGCTCGCCCTAGCGTGCTTACGTCATCATACGTGCTTACGTCATCATACGTAAGCACGTTTCATCCAACAATATAATTTGTGGCCACCTAGTGGAATCTTTAATAAAATAAACTTGAGTGGTTTGTTTTAATAGTGAGTATAGAAACAAACAAGATGTATTGTAAGAGTCACTTTATTTTTCATTAATAATAAAGAAGTGAAGTTGCCTTTACATGCTTAAGCTGTTAATTTATCCATTGCATGGGTGGACCTTATCCTTATCAATCATCCAGACATTTGCCCCCCCTGAGAGATTTTGCAAGAGCCGCCACTGGTAGACTGGTTGAACTGGGAGGTTCTAAGAGTTGTTAAGGTGAGGCTGATGTAACAACTCTTTTCAACCAGTCTACACAAGTCTACACATGGCATTAGCTAATGAAGGGGGCGTGGTCTTAGTTAATGAATGGGGTGTGGTCTTAGTTAATGGGGGGTGGACTCAGTTCATAATAAAAATCTGTATTCAGACGGCAGGAGGAGGAACCCAAAAAGCTATGAAGCTCTTTGTCATATTCTTGGTTCTTTCGGTAAATTCACGTAGAAGGGAAGTAATACAATAATAAAAATAAAACATAATAAAATATATTGTTATATTATTTCATTTTATTATGTTTTATTATGTTTTATTTTTATTATTTTATTACTTCCCTTTTACGTGACTTTACCGAAAGAACCAAGAAGATGAATCCCTGCAGTCACGAAAGCTTTAAATCGAAACTCTTTGTCATATATGCCCAGCAATTAATGAGAAAAAAAAATCCGCAGACTACATGGAATTTGACCTAAGGTCTTCGCTCATTTACCAACTTCACATTCCCTATTGCCGTACAAATACTGGAGGAAGGGCCTTTGCTATTGATGCCCCCAGGGTCTAGAATGATATTGCCAATGAACAGCAACTTAAATCACTACCTGTGAGATCTTCACTTAAAACTGCTCTAGAGGAGTTGTACACCCCTAGCTGCCACTGCAATTTAGTGGCCTAAAATACAATGTTTCGCTCTGGATGATCGCTGCAAAGTATGACCTGTGTTTTGATTTAGTGTGCTGATCTTTAAGGGTGCATTGAAAAATGTTTATACTCCGACTGATGCTCCTGCTGTTGTGGAGTGACTCATGCAGCCAGTTATGGCTGCAGGGTTTTGGTTGTACGTGTTGTTTACGGCGTTTATTGTGAAAATTCGGCCACAGTTCCTATGATCGCTGTTACATTGCTTTTATGGCTTTATTTTTGGTGATTTCGAAAAGTTTTTTTGGTTTGGCCATGTTTGTTTTTTATCGTCTGGAGTTAGACTGATGGCCTTATTCTAAGATGTATTGTTGTTGTTTGACTTGCATCCCACTGGGATTTTTGCACACAGCGTTGGTGTACGGTGCATTTTCTAGAATTTTTGCTGGTTTTTTTCCTGGATTTTCAATTTTGCACGTAGTCACATAGTCACTTTAAGATGTTTTCTTGTTCATGTTTTTTTTGTTGCGGTTGCACCCGATTCAAGAGCCGAATGGCTCACATGGCTACACCAAATCAATGAACTTGAACTTGAATGAGGAGTCTGTGACCTCAGCCAACGATAAGGGGCGGAGCTTCAACTCATATATAAGGGAGGGGCGCCGGGGGGGGGTCTCAGCCAATGGATGGCGATGGTGAGTCGCGCGGGGGGGGGAGCGGCGTCTCAGCCAATGGATGGAGTCGGGGTGGGGTAGTGGGGCGGGGGGGGCGGCGTCTCAGCCAATGGGTGGTGTCGGGGTGGGTTAGTGGGGCGGGGGGGGGTGGCGTCTCAGCCAATGGGTGGTGTCGGGGTGGGGTAGTGGGGCGGGGGGGATGCGGTTTGGGTGCGTGCAACCCCCCCCTCCTCCGGGCGGGGTGACGTCACGCTATATAAACGTCTGCAGTCGCGCGACGGCTGCCACTCGCTGCTCGGCGTCTCGCGGAGCGGAGCTCCCCACAACAACCACCACCACAATCACCACAACCACAATCACCACAACCACCACAACCACCACCACCATGGGACGCGGCGAGGAGGGAGCGCCTGGGGCTACCCCCTGCACCGCATCGCTGGTGGTGCCTTCTCGGTCTCCACCATCACCACCACCATCATCACCACCATCATCACCACCATCATCATCATCAACGTCTCCTCGTCTCTGGACCTGGGAGGAGGTCTCGCAGAGGAGCGGAGGTCGCCACGGGGAGCCTCGTTGGCTCGTGGTGGAGCGGCGCGTCTATGACGTCACCAAGTGGGGGGCCCGGCACCCGGGGGGGCAACGACTCCTGGGGCACTACGCCGGGGAGGACGCCACGGTAACGACGACGCCTCCTGCTGCACCTGCTGCGCCTGCTGCACTAGCACATGCTGCACCACCTACACCTGCACCTGCTGCTGCACCATCACCACCTCCTCCTCCTGCTGCTGCTGCTGCACCATCACCTGCTGCACAACCTACACCACCACCCACACCGCCTCCTGCTGCTGCTGCTGCACCACCAACAGCTGCACCATCACCTACACCTGCTCCTCCTGCTGCTGCACCATCACCACCTCCTACTCCTGCTGCTGCTCCTGCTGCTGCTGCACCATCACCTGCTGCACAACCCACACCACCTCCTGCTGCTGCACCATCACCTGCTGCACAATCACCACCTCCTGCTCCTCCTGCTGCTGCTCCTGCTGCACCATCACCTGCTGCACCATCACCTACACCTGCTCCTCCTGCTGCTGCACCATCACCACCTCCTACTTCTGTTGCTGCTTCTGCTGCACCACTACCTGCTGCACAATCACCTGCTGCACCATCACCACCTCCTACTCCTCCTGCTGCTGCCGCACCATCACCTGCTGCACGACCTACACCATCACCTACACCATCACCTACACCACCTCTACCACCACCACCTCCTCCTGCTGCACCACCACCCACACCATCTCCTCCTGCTGCACCATCAACTACACCACCTCCTGCTGCTGCACCATCACCACCTCCTTCTGCTGCACAATCACCTGCTGCACCATCACCTGCTGCACCACCTCCTCCTCTACCTGCACCACCAACTACACCACCACCTGCACCTCCTCCTGCTGCTGCACCACCTGCACCACCTACACCACCTGCACCTTCACCTCTGGAACCTCCACCACCACCACAACCTCCACCACGACCACCACCACCTTCACAACCTACACCACCACTACCTTCACCACCTCATTCAGCACCACCACAGCCTCTACCACCACCACAACCTCCACCACCACCTCCACCACTACCACCACAACCTCCACCACCACCACAACCTCCACCACAACCTCCACCACCACCTCCACCACTACCACCACCTTCACAACCTCCACCACGACCACTCCACCACTATCACCACTACCACCTTCACAACTACACCACCTCCACCACCTCCACCACTAACACCACCTCCACCACTACCACCTCCACCACGACCACCTCCACCACAACCTCCACCACAACTTCCACCACCACCACCTTCACAACCTCCACCACGACCACTCCACCACTACCACCTTCACAACTAGACCACCTCCACCACTACCACCACCTCTACAACCTCCACCACCGCCACCACCTTCACAACCTCCACCACGACCACTCCACCACTATCACCACTACCACCACCACTACCACCTCCACCACCACTACCACCACCTTCACAACCTCCACCACGACCACTCCACCTCCACCACCACTACCACCACCTTCACAATCTCCACCACGACCACCACCTCCACCACCTTCACAACTACACCACCACCGCCATCTCTACCACTAAATCTCCACACGTCTGGTGTATCTCTCTTCCATCAATATATCATCTCTGTAGCGGTCACCCCTCTCTCTCTCTCTCTGCCATCTCCCTCAGCTGATCGCTGCTGATGTTTTCGGGCTGTTTGCTATTCGCGTCTTTGCTGTAACTCGATTCCATTTGTTTCTGTCGTTCGTCAGATCCGTGAGCCCAGGGCACTCACAAATCTGGCGACCTGGCCTCTGCAGTATCTGTGGGTCTCTGAGAGTTTATGGGTCTCTGTGGGTATCTGTGAGTCTATGGGTCTTTGTAGGTCTCTGTGGGTCTCTGTGAGTCAATGGGTCTCTGTAGGTCTCTGTGAGGCAATGGGTCTCTATGGGTGTCTGTGAGTCTATGGGTGTCTGTGAGTCTATGGGTCTCTGTGGGTCTCTGTGAGTCTATGGGTGTCTGTGAGTCTATGGGTCTCTGTGGGTCTCTGTGATTCTATGGGTCTTAATGGGTATCTGTGAGTCTATGGGTCTTTGTAGGTCTCTATGGGTATCTGTGAGTCTATGAGTCTCTGGGTCTCTGTGAGTCTATTGGTCTCTGTGAGTCTATGGGTCTCTGGGTATCTGTGAGTCTATGGGTGTCTGTGAGTCTATGGGTGTCTGTGAGTCTATGGGTCTCTGTGGGTCTCGGTGAGTCTATGGTTCTCTGGGTTTCTACGTATCTCTCTGGGTCTCTGGGTCTCTTTGTCTGTGTCTTTATGGGTGCATGTGTCTTTCTCTTTATGTGTCTCTATGGGTCTCTGTAAGTTTATGGATCTCTATGGGTCTCTGTGTCTTCATGTTTATCTACGTGTCTGTATGGGTCTCTGAATCTATTTATCTCTATGTGTCTCTGTGAGTCTATGGGTGCCTCTGGTGAGTTTGTGGGTTTCTGGTGAATCTATGGGTCTCTGGTGAGTCTATGGGTTTCTCTGGGTTTCTCTGGGTTTCTCTGGGTCTCTCTGGATCTCTATGGGTCTCTTTGGGTCTCTATGGGTCTCTGGTGAGTCTATGGGTCTCTCTGGGTTTCTCTGGGTCTCCATGTTTATCAACGTGTCTCTTTTTGTCTTAATCGGTCCCCTTATCACCTGGGCTACTCACCTCATCCTGAACTCTCACTCGAAGGGTGGACTGAGGAGGAGGGGGGGGGGGATTGACGTTGGGCAATAAGAAGGGGGTGGATGGAGTGGTGGTGCACTGGTTAATGCGCTTCACCACGAACCCGGCACGGCTAACACCAGTGTGATGATTAATCTGTACAGGTCCTGGGCCTTCCCTAGGTCGACTCAGCCTCAAATGAGTACCTGGTGCGGTGTTTAATAAAGATCGCCACACACACCAGAAGTCGCAAATGGGTTTTGATTCCTTACCCGTACCCGGCCGCACCAGGGTCACAAATGGGTACCCGTACTCATACCCGGCCGGGTACGGGTATCCGTTCCCTACCCGTACCCTACCCGAAATGAGTGACAAACGGTTACTCACCAGTGACTCACGGCCTACCCGTACCCGGCCGCACCGGGGTCACAAACGGCTAGCCGGGTATCGGGTAGGGTACGGGTATCGGGTACCCGGTTGTGACCTCTGACACACACACACACGTGTACGCACAACAACAACCGCCATTCGCCACCAATAATAACTATAATGCAATTCATAACGCTCGCAAAACTGCGGACGTAACGGCTGCAACTCAGAGGCGCGGAGCCAAGCTCAGAGTCGCTCGAAAGAGTGGTTATAGAGGTGAGTTTTTAAGTATCTCTTGAAGGAGGCAATTGAGGTGATGCTGCAAATGTGCAGAGGGGTGATGGCGTTCCAGACTGTTGGGGCTGCCACTGAGAAGCGGCGTATAGACATGACCATCCTGGCTCTTGGTATCAAGAGGTTGTGAGTCGCGCTGCGCAGGCATAAGTGGTGGTGACGTCACCACGGCGCTTGTGCCAGGCTGTGTGCACGTTGAGGCCACGTCAAGTGTCTAACGCCCGCTGGCAGGAGGTCACCGGGCAGACCCAGGTGCCATGGGTCGACTGACTGAGATGACTGGCCGATGCACCACCTGTGTCCACTGCTGTGCCAACCTGATGTGTTTTAGCCGCCTGGCGCTCCGCTCGTTGTTGTGGGCATCACTCTTCTGCCCTCGGTTGCTGGAGGGCGACTGCCTCCAACTGCCCAGTAGCGTCCTTCACGAGCCTCCTCCACAGAGGCCGATCTTTACACCACTGGCACCAGTCATCGGCAAGTTCACTCAGTTCCACATCTTCTCATACCACATCATTCCATCTCTTCTCCAGCCCGTGCCATGCTTGTTTAGCCCCCTCTATCTGGCCGAACAAAAGCTATTGAGGCATGCAGTGACTGGGCATGCGGGCTATATGACCCAGCTAACGCCGCCTTGCCTGCTGAAAGAGCTCACCGATGGGCCTTTGTCTGGATCTTTCAAGGATTTGTGAGCTCACACAATTCAGTCTGGTTAAACCCAGGATGGATGATTTGTGATCGCGGGCCAGTGAGGCAGACTCCACCTCAGCAACCCGCGACCACCACCCAACCTCGCAGCGCCTCATGGCTCTCCGAACCTCCGAGAAAATTTGCGTTAAGCCTTTTCATTCTCTGACGTGGGATGCTGTAGACGGTGAGAGTGGGCCTCTGACTTTTTTCACCCAGCCTGTACACCTATGCCAGCCAGGGTCTCTGGGTAGGTTTGGACCGTGCACCCAGTCATGAGACTCGGTCCTAAACCTCGCCCATTTCCCCTCGGCATTAGAAGGAGTGGGTAACGATGCCAGCCCAAGCTGCAAGCGATGATGAAATTCTCGCTGGCAACTTTCATCAGCTAACTGAGACCAGGCCACTGTGGGTTTGAATGGGGTCCTGGGTGTATACACCCACCACCGGAGTGGAAAAATGGCAGGCGCATCTCTCAAATGCTAGCCGATGGTCAGTGGGCAGATCACCTCCATGGTAGGTCCTGGTGTCAAGGACATGGGCCCGCATACACTGTTCCATCACTATGTAGTCCAGCAGATGTTCTTGATTGGACCCAGAGTGCATCCACGATGTGTCGATGCGCCGATGCCAGAACAGCTTGTTGGTAATTACAAGCCCATGAGCTGCACAAAAGTCTAGCAGCCTCCTACTGTTATTGAGCTGATCTGGCCCATACATTTCAATCACTCCAGACCAGGTGCCAGTATCATGACCAACTCAGGCATTAAAGTTACCCTACAGGATGACTCTATCCCGAGGGGCCACTTTAGCTAGCACCTGTGACAGGAGGTCATAGAATGCATCTGTCTCATTGGCCTTGCCTGCATCCCTTCACTGATGTTCATCTTCGGTGGGGGCATAAGTAACCATGACCACCACTCCTCGCCTCTGGTTGATAGGAAGGCGAGCCCAAAGTAGCTTGGGGCTTACAGATTCCCACACCTCACCGCCACGCTCCCACGCCCCCCTTTATTCTTTGTTCAGAAGAAGAGCCACACCCTGTTGTTTGGCAGTCTCCTGCCCCGACTAGAGGACTGTCCAACCCTCATGGAGGCAGGAGCCAGAGCCGGTCCACCGGACCTCCTGAATACCGCAGAGATCCAGGCAGTACCGTTCCAGCTCCCGACAGAGGAGTGGCAGCCTCTCCTCCGCAGTGAGCGTTCAAACATTCCACGTGGCCACCCGCAGTGGCTTTTTGCTGTTTATGGAGGAATCCCGAGGATATGGAATCATTCTCCCGGCTCCGCCAAATGGGGTTTGGCCAGGGCACGTAATAGACACCTGTCCCCTCGGGGCCTCCGGCACAAGCTTAGCTGGATATGTTTTTCGTAGTTTTGTGGTCATTAATTGAAGGTTGAGGTGTTACCAGGCCCTCACACCCATGCAGAGCCCACCTTTGGCTGCTGTGGTGGCTGCAAATGCCATGAGGGGAAAGGCCAATCGAAATTGGCCCTCCCGCCCATGGCACTGCTCACCACAGCGTTACCGTCTGGCACATACGAGGAGGTCGGGGGTTGTTTTGCCGGGGTCACTTCGAGTTGGGTCACTCCCAGCCCAGTGGGGTCACTCCCAGCCCAGTGAGGTCACTCCCAGTGGGGTCACTCCCAGCCCAGTTGGGTCACTCCCAGCCCAGTGAGGTCACTCCCAGTGAGTTCACTCCCAGCCCAGCGAGGTCACTCCCTGCCCAGCGAGGTCACTCCCATCCCAGTAAGGTTACTCCCAGTCCAGCGAGGTCACTCCCAGCCCAACGAGGTCACTCCCAGCCCAGTGGGGTCTCTCCCAGCCCAGTGAGGTCACTCCCAGCCCAGCGAGGTCACTCCCAGCCCAGTGAGGTCACTCCCAGCCCAGTGAGGTCACTCCCAACCCAGTGAGGTCACTCCCAGCCCAGTGGGGTCACTCCCAGCCCAGTGAGGTCACTCCCAGCCCAGTGAGGTCACTCCCAGTGTATACACACACACGTGTGTATACACATACACGTGTATACACACACGTGTATGTGTACATACACGTGTGTATATACACACATGTGCATGGCCAGGTGGAACCATTGCGGTCCACTCGGATTGGTATCTCTCCCTGCGGGGTCACTCCGAGCCCAGTGGGGTCACTCCCAGCGGGGTCATTCCCAGCGGGGTCACTCATTCTCCTCCGCTGACTCCCCACCCACAATATCCGGAGATCCCTGACACCCTCACCCCACCCCCGTCCACATCTGCCCACTCACTGTGGAGTCACGTGTTCAAGTCCAGGGTCAAGGCCTCCCTCCCTGCCCTAGACTCACCACACAGATAGAGACCCATAGACTCACAGATACCCATAGAGACCCATAGACTCACAGATACCCACACACACCCATAGAATCACACATACCCATAGACCCACACAGAGACCCATAGACTCACGTACCTATAGACTCACACACGACCCATAGGCTCACAAACCCATAGACTAACAGACCCATAGACTAACAGATCCATAGACTCACAGACCCATAGACTCACACAGACCCATAGACCCACACAGAGACCCCTCGACCCATAGACTCACACAGACCCATAGAACCACAGAGACCCATAGAACCACAGAGACCCATAGACCCACAGAGACCCATCCACTCACTCAGAGACCCACAGACTCACACAGAGACCCTTAGACTCACACATAGACCCATAGACTCACACAGAGACCCATAGACTCACACAGAGACCCACAGACTCACACAGAGACCCTTAGACTCGCATAGAGACCCACAGACTCACATAGAGACCCTTAGACTCACACAGAGACCCTTAGACTCACACAAAGACCCACGGACTCACACAGAGACCCTTAGACTCGCATAGAGACCCACAGACTCACACAGAGACCCGCAGACTCACACAGAGACCCACAGACTCACACAGAGACCCACAGACTCGCATAGAGACCCACAGACTCACACAGAGACCCACAGACTCACACAGAGACCCACAGACTCGCATAGAGACCCACAGACTCACACAGAGACCCATAGACTCACATCGAGACCCACCTTTGCTGGGTGATATTTTTACAGCCCGTTATCCAGCAGTGGATTGATCATGGTGGTGGTAATGAACCCGATGTGTATCGTGCGAGTTTTCAGCTGGTTAATCGACTTGCGTGTACACGTGTATGTGTGTACACGTGTGTGTGTGTACACGTGTGTGTGTACATACTTGTGTGTCGACACGTGTGTGTGTGTTGACACGTGTGTGTTTACACGTGTCTTTGTACACGTGTGTGTACACGTGTGTGTGTGTCGACACCTGTGTGTTTGTACATGTGTGTGTGTGTACACGTGTGTGTGTGTACACGTGTGTGTGTGTACACGTGTGTGTGTGTACACGTGTGTGTGTGTGTACATACTTGTGTGTGTGGCGCAGTAGTGTCGTGGTTAGCGCTGCGCTACGCTACAAACCCGGCGACCCGAGTTCGATTCCCGCCCACGGCTAACACCACTGACGATTTTCCGACTGGTCCCTGGGCCTCCCCTAGGTCGACTCAACCTAAAATGAGTACCTGCTGCGGTGTGTAGTAAACATCGCCACTGGGGAGACAAAGGCGGCCGGGCGCGGTGCTGGCCACCCACCCCCTCGTGTGCCACAATGCCGGTAGCCTTCATAGGTGCTGCTACTCGCTACTAACAGCACTTGCCCCAACAATCTGTTCGAGGCTACACGGGGGATCTTTGTCTCTGTATAGGCGTTGCTGCTACTTGCTACGAACAGCACTTGCCCCAACAGTTTGTTGAAGGCTACACGGGGGATCTTTGTCTGTGTATAGGCGTTGCTGATACTCGCTACGAACAGCACTTGCCCCAACAGTCTGCTAGAGGCTACACGGGGGATCTTTGTCTGTGTATAGGCGTTGCTGCTACTTGCTACGAACAGCACTTGCCCCAACAGTCTGATAGAGGCTACACGGGGGATCTTTGTCTGTGTATAGGCGTTGCTGCTACTTGCTACGAACAGCACTTGCCCCAACAGTCTGATAGAGGCTACACGGGGGATCTTTGTCTGTGTATAGGCGTTGCTGCTACTTGCTACGAACAGCACTTGCCCCAGCAGTCTGCTAGAGGCTACACGGGGGATCTTTGTCTGTGTATAGGCGTTGCTGCTACTTGCTACGAACAGCACTTGCCCCAGCAGTCTGCTAGAGGCTACACGGGGGATCTTTGTCTATGTATAGGCGTTGCTGCTACTTGCTACGAACAGCACTTGCCCCAACAGTCTGCTAGAGGCTACACGGGGGATCTTTGTCTGTGTATAGGCGTTGCTGCTACTTGCTACGAACAGCACTTGCCCCAACAGTCTGATAGAGGCTACACGGGGGATCTTTGTCTGTGTATAGGCGTTGCTGCTACTTGCTACGAACAGCACTTGCCCCAGCAGTCTGCTAGAGGCTACACGGGGGATCTTTGTCTGTGTATAGGCGTTGCTGCTACTTGCTACGAACAGCACTTGCCCCAGCAGTCTGCTAGAGGCTACACGGGGGATCTTTGTCTGTGTATAGGCGTTGCTGCTACTTGCTACGAACAGCACTTGCCCCAACAGTCTGATAGAGGCTACACGGGGGATCTTTGTCTGTGTATAGGCGTTGCTGCTACTTGCTACGAACAGCACTTGCCCCAGCAGTCTGCTAGAGGCTACACGGGGGATCTTTGTATTTTATTGTGAGTGGGTGAGCGCTGCCCTCTGGTGGAGTTGGATGGACTTCCAAGATGAATCTCCTACTCGCAGCCATCAAGTTCAAGTTCATGTATTAGGTATAGCCCTGTGAGCCATTCGGCTCTTGAATCGGGTGCAACCGCAACAAACAAAAAAACATGAACAAAAACATCTTAAAGTGACTTTGTGACTGTGTGCAAACAGAAAATCCAAGAAAAGACTGCTAAATATTGCAGAAAAGCACCGCACACCAACGCTGTGTGCAAAAATCCCAGTGGGATGCAAGTCAAACAACAACAACAACCACAAGACAACTTATATTAAGGCCATCAGTCTAACTCTGTACTACAACAAACAAACATGGCCAAACCAAAAAACGTATCGAAGATCACCAAAATAAAGCCATAAAAGCAATGAAACAGTGATCATAGGAACTGTGACCGAATTTTCACAATAAACGACGTTAACAACATGTACCACCAAACTCTGCAGCCATAGCTGGCTGCATGAGTCACTCCACAACAGCAGGAGCATCAGTTGGAGTATCAACATTTTCCAATGCACCTTTAAGATCAGCACACTAAATCAAAACAGAGCAACTGAGTCTTGAGACTGGGGGGGGGGGGGGGGACACACCGGGGTGTCTGTGTGTGTGTCTGGCTGTGTGTGTGTCTCTCTGTCTGTGTGTGTGTCTCTCTGTCTGTGTTCGTGTGTTTCTGTGTCTGTGTATCTGTGTGTGTGTGTCTGTGAATGCCTCCTGTCTGTCCTTGAGTGTCTTCCTATTAACTACCCGTGTCCCTCTGTCCAACCTCTCCCCGTGTCCCCCCCAGGACGCATTCCGTGCGTTCCACATCAACCAGGCGCTGGTGCAGCGCTACCTGAAGACTCTGCTCGTGGGCGAACTCGCCCCCGACCAGCCCAGCTGTGAGCCTCACAAGAACGTGAGGACCGCTCACCACTCACCGCTCACTCTCACTGCTCACCACTCACTGCTCACCCTCACCGCTCACCCGCACCGCTCACCCGCACCGTTCACCCGCACCGCTCACCACTCACCGCTCACCCTCACCGCTCACCCTCACCGCTCACTCTCACCGCTCACTCTCACCGCTCACTCTCACCACTCACCGCTCACCACTCAACGCTCACCCGCACCGTTCACCCGCACCGCTCACCACTCACCGCTCACCCTCACCGCTCACCCTCACCGCTCACTCTCACTGCTCACTCTCACTGCTCACTCTCACCACTCACCGCTCACCACTCAACGCTCACCCGCACCGCTCACCCTCACCGCTCACTCTCACCGCTCACTCTCACCGCTTACCGCTCACTTTCACTGCTCACCACTCACCCTCACCGCTCACTCTCACCCTCACTGCTCACCCTCACCGCTCACTCTCACCGCTCACTCTCACCGCTTACCGCTCAATTTCACTGCTCACCACTCACCGCTCACCACTCAACGCTCACCCGCACCGCTTACCCTCACCGCTCACTCTCACCCTCACTGCTCACCCTCACCGCTCACTCTCACCGCTCACTCTCACCGCTTACCGCTCACTTTCACTGCTCACCACTCACCGCTCACCCTCACCGCTCACTCTCACCCTCACTGCTCACCGCTCACTCTCACCGCTCACTCTCACCGCTCACTCTCACCGCTTACTGCTCAATTTCACTGCTCACCACTCACCGCTCCCACTCAATGCTCACCCGCACCGCTCACCACTCAACGCTCACCCGCACCGCTCACCCTCACCGCTCACTCTCACCGCTCACTCTCACCGCTCACTCTCACCGCTTACCGCTCACTTTCACCACTCACCGCTCACCCGCACCGCTCACCCGCACCGCTCACTCGCACCGCTCACTCGCACCGCTCACTCTCACTGCTCACCCTCACCGCTTACCGCTCACCCTCACCGCTCACCCTCACCGCTCACCGCTCACTCGCACCACTCACCGCTCATCCGCACCACTCACCGCTCACCCGCACCACTCACCGCTCACAGCTCACCCTCACCGCTCACCCTCACCGCTCACCGCTCACCCTCACCGCTCACCGCTCACCCGCACCACTCACCGCTCACAGCTCACCCTCACCGCTCACTCGCACCACTCACCGCTCACTCGCACCACTCACCGATCACCCGCACCACTCACCGCTCACCCGCACCACTCACTCTCACCGCTCACTCGCACCACTCACCGCTCACTCGCACCACTCACCGCTCACCCGCACCACTCACCGCTCACCCGCACCACTCACCGCTCACCCGCACCACTCACCGCTCACCCGCACCACTCACCGCTCACTCGCACCACTCACCGCTCACTCTCACCGCTCACTGCTCACCCGCACCACTCACCGCTCACCCGCACCACTCACTGCTCACAGTTCACCGCCCACCGCCCACCACTCACCCGTTACTGATCACCCACAATGCTCCCTCCCTTGCCCTCTCCCCTCCGTCTCCTCTCTTCACTCCCCCCCTCCCCTCCCCCCCTGCCCGCCTCCCTTCCCCCCTCCCCATCCCCCCCGTCCCCCCCTGCCTGCCTCCCTCCCCCTTCCCCCCTCCCTTCCCCCCCTCCCCCCCTCCCTCCCTGCCTGCCTCCCCCTTCCCCCCTCCCCCCCCTCCCCCCCTGCCTTCCTCCCCCCTCCCTTGCCCCCTCCCTCCCCCTTCCCCCTCCCATCCCTCCCATACCCCCCCTCCCCCCTGCCTGCCTCCCCCCCTCCCCCTCCTCCCCCCCTCCACCTCCCCCTTCTCCCCCCTTCCCCCGTCCCCATCCCCCTCCCCCCCTCCACCCCCCCAAGGCGTCGTTGACGGAGGACTTCCGCTCCCTGCGCTCCCACGTGGAGCGATCGGGGCTCCTGCGTCCCAGCCCGGCGTTCTTCTCCCTCGCGCTGCTCCACATCCTGCTGCTCGACCTCGTGGCCTGGCTCAGCCTGCGGGCGCTCGGGGCGAGCCTCCACGGCTGGCTCCTCACCGCCGTGCTGCTCGCCACCGTGCAGGTGAGTGGGGATGCTCGCTCGCTCACCCGCTTACCGCCGACAACAAACTCAACCACTCACCGCCGCTACCACCAGCACCACCAACCAACAACCTCGCCCACTCACCACTCACCAGCACCACCACCAACCCACAACCTCAACCACTCACCACCAGCACCACCAACCCACAACCTCACCCGCTCACCACTCACCACCACTACTACCACCACAAACCCACAACTTCGCCCACTCACCACCACCACCACCACCACAAACCCACAACCTCACCCGCTCACCACCACCACCAACTCACGACCTCACCCGCTCACCACCACTACCACCGACAACAAACTCAACCACTCACCGCCGCTACCACCAGCACCACCAACCAACAACCTCACCCGCTCACCACCACTACCACCACCGACAACCTCACCCGCTCACCAGCACCACCAACCAACAACCTCAACTACTCACCACCACCAACAACCTCGCCCACTCACCACCACCAACCCACAACCTCACCCGCTCACCACCACTACCACCGACCTGATGGATGATGATGATGGATGATGGCTGATGATGATGGATGATGGCTGATGATGATGAATGACGATAATGGATGATGATGATGATGAATGGCTGATGATGATGGCTGATTATGATGATGATGAATGACGATGATGATGAATGACGATGATGGCTGATGCTGATGATGATGGCTGACGATGATGATGAATGACGATGATGATGATGAATGACGATGATGATGAATGACGATGATGATGATGAATGATGACGATGGGTGTCTGCAGGCCCAGGCTGGGTGGCTACAGCACGACTTTGGACATCTCTCCGTGTTCCCCACCTCGCGCTGGAACCACTGGGTTCACAAGTTCGTCATCGGTCACCTCAAGGTGATGCACTGCTCACTGCGTGTGGGTGTGCGCGTGCCCCTCCCCCCCTCCCCTCCACGGGGGGAGCGGTGGTGCAGCGGTTAGCACGCCGCGCTGCGCTACTAACCTGGTAACCCCGAGTTCGATTTCCCGCTCGGTGAAGATTATTTGAACCGGTCCTGGGCCTCCTCCCCTAGGTCGACTCAGCCTTAAATGAGTACCTGGTGCGGTGTGTGGTCAATATCGCCACTGGGGAGACAAAGGCGGCCGGGCGTGGTGCTGGTAGCCACCCACCCCCTCTGTGTATGCCACAGTGCCGGTAGCCTTCATAGTTGCTGCTACTCGCTAAGCAGAAACTTGCCCCTAGGCACAGCAAATATTTTTTGACACCTGATGAAGGAAGCTTGTGTTGCCTCCGAAACGTCGTGATTTATTATTTTATTTCTACTATTATAATTTCTATTATTTTTTATTTTTACCTACGTGACTTTACCGAAAAAACCTCAAAAAATAACATCCAGGTGCCTACCCTTGGCTCCTCCCACCCTCAACCAGTATATATACAGGTAATCATTGGAAAGATGTTATTAACCATGCAAAAAAGATTTAACTACACATATTTGGAGCATTCCTGGCAGCGATTTCAGCCGAACCACCTCTACATAACAAAAGGCTCGGTCAACCATTCTACACAACAAAGACTCATTTCCATGCAGCGATTTCAGCCGCACCACCTCTACATAACAAAAGGCTCAGTCAACCATTCTACACAACAAAGACTCATTTCCTGACAGCGATTTCAGCCAAACCACCTCTACATAACAAAAGGCTCAGTCAACCATTCTATACAACAAAGACTAATTTCCTGGCAGGGATTTCAGCCGAACCACCTCTACATAACAAAAGGCTCAGTCAACCATTCTACACAACAAAGACTAATTTCCTGACAGCGATTTCAGCCGAACCACCTCTACATAACAAAAGGCTCAGTCAACCATTCTACACAACAAAGACTCATTTCCTGGCAGCGATTTCAGCCGCACCACCTCTACATAACAAAAGGCTCGGTCAACCATTCTACACAACAAAGACTCATTTTCTGGCAGCGATTTCAGCCGCACCACCTCTACATAACAAAAGGCTCGGTCAACCATTCTACACAACAAAGACTCATTTCCATGCAGCGATTTCAGCCGCACCACCTCTACATAACAAAAGGCTCAGTCAACCATTCTACACAACAAAGACTCATTTCCTGACAGCGATTTCAGCCAAACCACCTCTACATAACAAAAGGCTCAGTCAACCATTCTACACAACAAAGACTAATTTCCTGACAGCGATTTCAGCCGAACCACCTCTACATAACAAAAGGCTCAGTCAACCATTCTACACAACAAAGACTAATTTTCTGACAGCGATTTCAGCCGAACCACCTCTACATAACAAAAGGCTCAGTCAACCATTCTACACAACAAAGACTCATTTCCTGGCAGCGATTTCAGCCGCACCACCTCTACATAACAAAAGGCTCGGTCAACCATTCTACACAACAAAGACTCATTTCCTGGCAGCGATTTCAGCCGCACCACCTTTACATAACAAAAGGCTCGGTCCCATTTACACGCACCTTTACATCAGCCGCACCTAGTTTACACAACAAAGGCTCATTCCTAACAGCGTGCTTCACAATAATAATATCCTGGTGCCTACCTTGGCTCCTCCCACCCTCAACCAATATATATACAAGGACTGTTTTCTTGGAATTTATCTTACTTGATACAGCTATCATGCTGTGACGGTTCCACCTGTAGACGGAAGCTTTTGTTGCCTCCGAAACGTCGTGATTTTTATTTTATTTTTATTTTATTTATATTTTTTATAATTTTTTTATTTTACTTTTATTAATTTGTCATTTTTTACCTACGTGACTTTACCGGAAAAAAACCTAAGAGTATGTATGATTTGCGATTTGCCGTCCCGGTGCGCGCTCCGGCTCATGCTCAGGGAGCCCCGGCGAGCTGGTGGAACCACCTCCACTTCCAGCACCACGCCAAGCCAAACGTCTTCCGCAAAGACCCAGACGTCAACATGCACCCGCTGCTGTTCGTGCTGGGAACGACGCTCGCCACCGAGGTTCGGGAGGGGGGGGAGAGAGGGGAGGGGAGGGGGGGGGAGAGAGGGGGAGGTGGGGGGGGAGAGGGGGAGGTGGGGGGTAGTGAGATGGGGGGGGGAGAGGAGAGGTGGGGGGGAGGGGGGGGAGAGGGGGGGGAGGGAGAGGTGGGGGGGAGGGAGATGGGGAGGAGGGAGATGGGGGGGGGGAGAGGGGAGAGATGGGGAGGGAGAGGGGAGATGGGGGGGAGGGGGGAGAGAGGGGGGAGAGAGAGGGAGAGGGGAGGAGGGAGTGGGGGTTGAAGGGGGGGGGGAGAATTCCCGGGGGGCATCCCGGTTGGAATAGAGGGGGGTTAAACGGGCGTGGTACAGGCTAGGTGAAGATATAGCCTGGTGGGTGAGTGAGTGAGTGGGTGAGTGAGTGGGTGGGTGAGTGAGTCAGTGACTGAGTGGGTGGGTGCGTAAGTGAGTGGGTGAGTAGCTGCATGGGTGGGTGAGTGGGTGGCTGAGTGGGTGGGTGGGTAAGTCAGAGAGTGGGTGGATGGGTGAGTGGGTGGGTGAGTAGCTGCATGGGTGGGTGATTGGGTGGGTGAGTGGGTGGGTGAATGGGAGAGTGGGGGTGAGTAGTTGCATGGGTGGGTGAGTGGGTGGGTGAGTGGATGGGTGAGTCAGAGAGTGGGTGGACAGGTGAGTGGGTGGATGAGTGGATGGGTGAGTCAGAGAGTGGGTGGACAGGTGAGTGGGTGGATGAGTGGCTGCGTGGTTTGGTGAGTGGGTAAGTGAGTGGCTGCGTGGTTGGGTGAGTGGGTGGGTGAGTCAGAGAGTGGGTGGGTGTGCATGCGAGTGTGTGTGTGTGTGTAAGTGTATGTGCGGGGGTGTGGGGAGCGGGAGGGGGCACAGGTGGTGCATCAGCCAGTCATCTCAGTCAGTCGACCCTTGGAACCTGGGTCTGCCCCGTGACCTCCTGCCGGCGGGCGTTCGATACTTCACGTGGCCTTAACGTGCACATAGCCTGGCACAAGCGTCGTGGTGACGTCACCGCCACTTAGTGGCCAATGGCGGTTGTTGGTGTTGTGGGGAGCGCAGTAGTTTAGCCTTGAATGCTACGCTGCGCTACGAACCGGACAAAACCGAGTTCGATTCCCGCTCACGGCCAACACCGGTGACGATGATCTGAACTGGTCAACAATCTGTTGAGGCTACATGGGGGACCTTTGTCTGTGTGTCACAGCTGGGTGAACAGAAGAAAAAGTACATGCCCTACAACCACCAACACAAGTACTTTTTCCTGTGTGAGTACCACCCCGCTCACTCGTCCAATCATTCGCTCATCCACTCGCTCACTCCCTCACTCGCTCACCCACCCATTTATCCAATCTCTCGCTCGCTCACCCACTCGCTCGCTCACCCACTCGCTCACCCAGCCACTTGCTCACCCACCCACTCACCCAACCACCCACCCAACCACTCACCCACGTACCCACTCGCTCACCCACCCACTCGCTCACCCACCCACTCGCTCACCCACTCGCTCACCCACCCGCTCGCCCACCCACCCATTCACCAACCCGCTCACAAACCCACTCACCCACTCGCTCATCCACCCAATCACCCATTCATGCACGCACCCACTTACCCACCCACTTAGTCACCCACCCACTCACCCACCCACTCACCCACCCAACCCGTCACCCACCCACTCACTCATCCACCCACTCATCCACCCACTCACCCACCCACTCACCCACCCACCCAACCAGTCACTCACCCAATCATCCACTCACCCACCCACCCACTCACTCACGGGGGTGGCTACTTCCTCCGAGTTGCGAGCAACTCCCGCCACCCAACCTGGCTACACCCCTCACGCCCTCCTGACGCACGCCCCCTCCCTCCCTCCTCCCCCCCCCACCCCCTCCCCCACCCGGCTACTGCCCCCCCCCCACTTTGCGTGGTGGTGGTGCGGTGTTGACAGTGGGACCTCCGGCACTCATCCCCCTCTACTTCCAGTGGTACATCTTCGTGTTCGCCATCAAGAGGAAGCAGTGGGCGGTGAGACGCACACGCAGACACACGCACAGACACACAAGCAGACACACGCAGACACACACGCAGACACACAGACACATGCACACGCAGACACACACACACAGATACATACACAGACACACACGCAGACACACACGCAGACACACACGCAGACACACACGCAGACACACACGCAGACACACACACGCAGACACACACACGCAGACACACACGCAGACACACACGCAGACACACACGCAGACACACACGCAGACACTCACACACGCAGACACACACACAGATACATACACAGACACACGCAGACACACACACAGATACATACACAGACACACGCAGACACACACACAGATACATACACAGACACACACACGCAGACCCACACGCAGACCCACACGCAGACACACACACACACACATGCAGACACGCACGCAGACACACACGCACGCACGCAGACACACACGCACGCAGACACACACACACATGCAGACACACACACAGACACACACACACGCAGACACACACACGCAGACACTCACACACGCAGACACACACACAGATACATACACAGACACACGCAGACACACACACAGATACATACACAGACACGCAGACACACACACAGATACATACACAGACACACACACGCAGACCCACACGCAGACCCACACGCAGACACACACACACACACATGCAGACACGCACGCAGACACACACGCACGCACGCAGACACACACGCACGCAGACACACACACACATGCAGACACACACACAGACACACACACACACGCAGACACACACACGCAGACACACACACACGCAGACACACACACACACGCAGGGTTCTCGAAGGGATGCGTGGCCCGGGCACGCCGAGGCCCATATAAGCAGCCTCCTCACGAGGTTCGAGGCTGCCCGTGTCAAGAGTGAAGATGCATCGTGAAGACGCCAAGAAGAGTCGAGCCTCCAGTCAGCGGACCTGCCAGGAGCCCACCTGGCTGAGTCACGCGAGAGTCGCTGAGAGTTAGAGAAGTGTGTGTGTTAGCTTGAGTAGCTCGGTGGTCACCACCCTATGCGTCATGTAAGATCTTCTTGGTTCTTTCGGTAAAGTCACGTAGAAGGGAGATAATAAAATAATACAATTCATCATAAAATAATACAGTTCTCTGGTGAGAATTGTATTATTTTATTATGTTTTATTTGTATTATTTTATTATCTCCCTTCTACGTGACTTTACCGAAAGAACCAAGAAGATGAATCCCTGCAGTCACGAAAGTTTTAAATCGAAAGGTAATCTTCTTGGTTCTTTCGGTGAAGTCACGTAGAATGGAAATAATAAAATAATATTATATTTAATTATGTTTTATTTTTATTATTTTATTATTTCCATTCTACGTGACTTTACCGATAGAACCAAGAAGATGAATCCCTGCAGTCACGAAAGCTTTAAATCAAAACGTAATGTAAGAGTTAAGTGTTGTGTTCAGTAATAATTAAGTGTTGCCTCCAAAGAAGTTGTGTGCGCCTAAATTCGAACCCATTACACACCTATGACACACGCAGATACACGGAGATACAACAACAACAACAACCGCCATTCGCCACTACATGAGGCTTGTGCCAGGCCATGTGCACCTTGAGGCCACGTGAAGTGTCGAACGCCTGCTGGCAGGAGGTCACGGGGCAGAACCAGCAGGTGCCACGGGTCGACTGACTGAGATGACTGAGATGACTGGCTGATGCACCACCTGTGCCCCCTACTATGCCAACTTGCTGTGCTTTAGCCACCCGTCGCTCCACTCGTTGTGAGCGTCGCTCCTCCGCCCTCCGTTGTTGTTGGAGGGCGACTGCCTCCAATTGCCCAGTAGCGTCCTTCACGAGCCTCTTCCACTGAGGCCGATCTTGACACCGCTGGTACGGGTCATCGGCAAGTCCACTCCCCTCCATATCCTCCTGTACCACATCACTCCATCTCTTCTCTAGCCCGTGCTGCGCCCGTTTAGGCCCCTCGATCCGGCCGAACAAAAGCTGTTTAGGCATGCGGTGGCTGGGCATGCGGGCTACATGACCCAGCCAATGCAGCCTTGCCTGCCGGAGGAGCTCACCGATGGGACTTTGCCCAGATCTTTCAAGGATTTGTGAGCTCGTCACACAATCCAGCCTGGTTAAACCCAGGATGGATCGTAGGCAGGCCAGCCTAAATGTTTCTAACTGGCGAAGATGCTCCATTTGGAGGGTCCACGTTTCGCAAGCGTAGAGAAGGGAGGGAATGACTGTGGCCGAGAAGACCTGATGCTTCATCCGACAGACCAGGCTGCTTCCACATAGCGTTACGCAACCGATGAAAAGATATTGCCGCTCGACTGATTCGGAGTGAGACCTCTGCTCCCAAACCGGAGCCGGTCATGAGCAGACTGCCCATATATGGGAAACTTTCCATTCTCGCCACAACTGCCCCATCACCGATTGGGAGTTGTGGGGGTGGAGTGTATGATGGTTCAAAATACCCAGGCAGGTGCTTAGTTTTTTTGGGGCTGTTGGTATGGCCCCCACCTCTTAGTGGAACACTCCAGTTTCAGCAGAAGTGTCTCTAACTACTCTGAATGAGCAGCAATTACCAAATAATCGGCATACATAACGTGGTTGACCAATAGGGAGCCATCCCTTGACCGCACCCGCGCATCGATCAGCCTCCCATTGTATCTGTACCAAATGGAAATTCCCCTGGTACAGCTATTGAATGCTTCACAAACTACGTGGTCAAAATAGATGTTAAATAATGTGGGAGCCAGAGGACATCCCTGTCGCACCCCAAGGTGTACAGAGAATGGTTCTGACTCCCGGCCACATAGTTTTACCCGGGCCCGCTCGCCATCATGAAGGTCCTTAATGATCGTGAGCAGAGGGTCAGGGACTCTAAAAGCACGAAGAACTACCCAGAGCCCAGGCCTCCTGATGGTATCATAGGCCTTGACCAGGTCAATAAAGCAGAGATGTTGGAATTCCCTACACCTCTGCTGACATTATGTGCAAGACCGCCCTTTCCTGAAACCGCATTGGGGCTCCGCAAGCCTCTCCTCAGCGTGCCTAGCAAGACGATGTTGAATAATCCTTGCCAGGACCTTTACCGGCACACTGGGGAGCGAGATGCACCTGTAGTTGTTACAGCCTGTGCAGTCCCCCTTCTTAAAGAGGGGGACCACCAGGGCATCCTTCCAATCCTGCGAAACCCATACAGTGGTCCAGACTGTTGAGGCACGGCAGCCTCAGCAGGGTCATCCCCACTTTGTGCCACGATGTTTTCCTGGCTGAGGGATTTGCCCTCCCCCAGGACCTCACAGAAATGCTCAGCAAATATGCAAACCTGTTCCTGGGGGTCAGAGATTGGATCACCGTTTTTTCTCCTAATGATGGTAATAGGTGTGGCGCTGCAGGTTACTTTTTTGATGGAGTTAAATAGGGATTTGTGATCGTCGACCACTGAGGCAGACTCCATCTCCTCAGCAACCCGCGACCACCACCCATCCTTGCAGCGCCTCACGGCTCTCTGAACCTCCGAGCGAAGGCTGTGGTAAGCCTCCTCATTCTCTGACGTGGGATGCTGTAGACGATTAGAGTGGGCCTGTTGCTTTTTCTCAACCATCCTGAACACCTCTTTCAGCCAGGGTCTCTGGGGAGGTCTGGATCGCATACCAAAAGCAGCCATTGCAGCTGCATGAGTCACAGTCCTAAACCTCATCCATTTACCCTCGACATCAGGAGGAGTGGGGGATGATGCCAACACCAGCCGCAAGCGATGATGAAATTCTCGCTTGCAACTTTCATCAGCTAACTGAGGCCAGGCCACCTTGGGTTGGAATGGGGTCTTGGGTGTACACCCACCACCGGAGTGGAAGAATGGCGGGGGCATTTTACAGATGACTAGTCGATGGTCAGAGGACAGATCAGCTCCACGGTAGGTCCTGGTGTCAAGGACATGGGCTCGCATCCGCTGATCCGTCACTATGTAGTCCAGCAGATGTTCTTGCTTGGACCCGGCATGCATCCATGATGTTGTGTGGATGCGCCGATGCCGGAACAGCTTGTAGGTAATTACAAGCCCATGGATGTTCGTCTTCGGTGGGGGCATAAGTAACCACGATCACTACTCCTCGCCTCCGGTTGATGGGAAGGCGAGCCAAAAGTAGCCTGGGGCTTACAGCTTCCCACACCTCATCGCTACGTTCCCACACCCCCTTCAATCTTTTGTTCAGAAGAGGAGCCACTCCCTGTTGTTTGGCAGTCTCCTGCCCCGAGTAGAGGACTGTACACTCCTCATGGTGACAGGAGCCAGAGCCGGTCCACCAAACCTCCTGAATGCCATAGAGATCCAGGCGGTACCGGTCCAGCTCCCGACAGAGGAGTGGCAGCCTCTCCTCCACAGTGAGCGTTCGAACATTCCACGTGGCCATCCGTAGTGGCTTGTCGTTGTTTCTGGAGGAGCCCCGAGGGTGAAGATTCAATCTCCTGACTTTGCCAATTGGGGTTTGGCCAGGAGACGTCATAGAAGCCTGTCCCCCCGGGGCCTCCGGCACAAGCCGGACGGGTTACCAGCCCCTCGCACCCATCCAGAGCCCCCATTTAGCCACTGTGGTGGTCACAGACGCCATGAGGGGAGATGGCCAATCGGAATTGGCCCTCCCCACCACAGCACTGTCCACAACAGCGTTGCCCGTCCGGCACCACGAGGAGGTGGGGGGTTGTTTTTTCCGGACCCAGATACACACAGACACACAGACATACACGCTAGACAAACACAGACACAGATACAGATACACATTGCAGACACAAAAACACACGCAGATACATACACAGATACATACACAGATACACACGCAGACACGCACGCAGACACGAATGCAGACACGCACAGACACAGATACACACTCAAGACACAGATACACACGCAGATACACTTTGAATCCAAAATCACTCTCCTACCCACTCATCCTTGCACTCATTCACCCATTCCATACGCACTCATTCACCCACGCACATACCCATTGATCCACCCACTCCATCATTCACTCACTCGCCCTCCCTCCCTTTTTTTTAAACGATCAGACGAAAAAGATGCTCAGTGTTTCGGCACTTCACTTCGTTCATCATGTCGTTTGTTTGTATTTTTTTTTCATGTGCTCCCTTTTTTTATCAAAGATATAACGCGGGTTTCCCGTGTAACATTAGTCCCATTGTGTGTTACTGTGTTCATAGACACCAACAAGAAACACAAATCACCAGATCCACTGCTGCTGCACTACCAGCAACATAGCGGCGAAGGCACCTGCCTGATCCTCCCTCCCTCGCCCTCCCTCTCTCCCTCGCGATGTCTCTGATGGTGGCGGTGGTCGTGGCATTGACGGACCAGGACTTTGCGTGGATGCTGACATTCTACTTGCGGTTCCTCGTCTGCTACGTCCCCTTGCTGGGCCTGGGCGGCTCTCTGCTGATGCTCGCCTTCGTTCGGTGAGGAACACCCCCCCCCCACCACCCCCACCCCCCACCACCCCCCAACCCCCCACCACCCCCCAACCCCCCACCATCCCCCAACGCCCCACCACCCCCCCACCCCCCTAACCCACCCCCCCAACGTCAACGCGCCGCCCTTGCGCAAGGGCACATCAGAAGTGTGTACGATAATTAACACAATTGAAACAATCACTCACCCATCCACACAATCACCCACCCACACAATCACTCACACAATCACTCACACAATCACTCACACAATCACGCAATCACTCACCCACCCACACAATCACCCATCCACACAATCACCCATCCACACAATCACACAATCACTCACCCACTCACGCAAGCACTCACCCACCCACACAATCACTCACCCACCCACGCAATAACTCACACAATCACGCAATCACTCACCCACCCACGCAATCACCCACTCACGCAATCACTCACCCACTCACCCACCCACCCACACAATCACTCACCCACACACTCACCCACCCACACACTCACCCACCCACCCACACACTCACCCACCCACCCACATAATCACTCACCCACCCACCCACACAATCACTCACCAACCCCATCACCCACACAATCACCGAGTCGTCCTCTCTCTCTGTGCTCGCTCTCCCCCTCACAGGTTCCTGGAGAGCAACTGGTTCGTCTGGGTGACTCAGATGAACCACATCCCCATGAACATCGACCGCGACCACCAGCGAGACTGGACCACCACGCAGGTGCCACGGCTACACGGTTCACGAACCTCCCTCCCCACCCACCCCCCTCCCCACCAAACCAGCCCCCACCCCACCCACCGTCCCCCACCTCCCCACTCACCCCACCCACCCCCCTTCCCACTTACCCCCCTCTCCACCCACCCCTCTCTCCACCCAACCCCCTCTCCACCCACCCCCCTCTCCACCCCCCTCCACCCCACCCCCCCTCCCCACCCACCCCCTCCACCCCCCCCCTCCACCCAACCCACCCCACCCTCCTTCCCCACACACCCCCCACCCAACCCACCCCACCCCACCCCCCATCTCCACCCACCTCCTCCCACCCACCACTGGGTTAACTGAGCAGAGGAGGGGGGGGGGGTGCAGGGTGCAGTAGGGAGGGTGCAAGGTGCAGGGGGCAGGGTGAGGGTGCAGTGTGCAGGGTGAGGTTGCAGGGTGCAGGGTGCAGTGTACAGGGTGCAATGTGCAGTGTGCAGTGTGCAGTGTCCAGTGTGCATGGTGCAGTGTGCAGGGTGCAGTGTGCATGGTGCAGGGTGCAGTGTGCATGGTGCAGTGTGCAGGGTGAGGTTGCAGGGTGCAGTGTGCAGTGTACAGGGTGCAGTGTGCAGTGTGCAGGGTGCAGTGTGCATGGTGCAGTGTGCATGGTGCAGTAGGGAGGGTGCAGTAGGGAGGGTGCAGTGTGCAGGAGGGGGGGGTTGCAGTGTGCAGGGTGCAGGAGGGAGTCATCAACGTGCGACTCTGCTCTGCTGTTCCCTGCGTGTGGCTTCAACTCAGTTGCAGGCAACGTGCAACGTCGACCAGTCGCTCTTCAACGACTGGTTCACGGGACACCTCAACTTCCAGATCGAGCACCAGTGAGTGTCACGGAGCGTGGGCACCACACAACGCCATCGTGGGCATCGTCATCAACACCACCACCATCATCAACATCATCAACACCACCATCATCAACATCATCAACACCACCACCATCATCAACACCACCACCATCATCAACACCACCATCATCAACACCACCATCATCAACATCATCAACACCACCACCATCATCAACACCACCACCATCATCAACACCACCATCATCAACACCACCACCGTCATCATCAACACCACCGCCATCAACACCACCACCGTCATCATCATTAACATCATCATCAACACCATCATCATCATTAACATCGTCATCAACACCACCATCATCAACATCATCATCATCATCAACACCACCACCATCATCAACACCATCATCATCATCATCAACATCATCATCATCATTAACACTACCGCCATCAACACCACCACCGTCATCATCATTAACATCATCATCAACACCATCATCATCATTAACATCGTCATCAACACCACCATCATCAACATCATCATCATCATCATCAACACCACCACCATCATCAACACCATCATCATCATCATCATCAACATCATTATCATCATTAACACCACCGCCATCAACACCACCACCGTCATCATCATTAACATCATCATCAACACCATCATCATCATTAACATCGTCATCAACACCACCATCATCAACATCATCATCATCATTAACATCATCATCAACACCACCATCATCAACACCACCGCCGTCATCATCAACACCACCACCGTCATCATCAACACCACCACCATCATCATCAACACCACCATCATCAACACCACCATCATCATCAACACTACCGCTATCATCATCAACATCATCAACACCACCACCATCATCAACATCATCATCATCATTAACATCATCATCATCACTACCGCCATCATCATCAACATCATCATCATCACCATCATCAACATCATCAACACCACCGCTATCATCATTAACATCATCAACACTACCACCATCATCATCAACATCATCAACACCACCGCCGTCATCATCAACACCACCGCCGCCATCATCATCAACATCATCATCATCACCATCATCAACATCATCAACACTACCACCATCATCATCAACACCATCAACACCACCGCCGTCATCATCAACACCACCGCCGTCATCATCAACACCATCATCAACACCACCACCATCATCAACACCACCACCATCATTAACATCATCATCATCACTACCGCCATCATCATCAACATCATCATCATCACCATCATCAACATCATCAACACCACCGCCATCAACACCACCACCACCATCATCAACACCACCACCATCATCAACACCACCACCATCATTAACATCATCATCATCACTACCGCCATCATCATCAACATCATCATCATCACCATCATCAACATCATCAACACCACCGCCATCAACACCACCACCACCATCATCAACACCACCACCATCATCAACACCACCACCATCATTAACATCATCATCATCACTACCGCCATCATCATCAACATCATCATCATCAACATCATCAACACCACCGCTATCATCATTAACATCATCAACACTACCACCATCATCATCAACACTACCACCACCATCATCAACATCGTCGTCATCAACACCACCATCAACATCATTAACATCATCATCAACATCATCAATGCTACCACCACCATCATCAACATCATATACATCATCATCACTATCATCAACATCATCAACACTACCGCCACAACTCAAAGACAATGCACCATCAGAGTATGAGAGCTCGGGGTAAGCATTTACACCATTGGAACCTCCTTTGCCAGTAGCAAAATATGATAATTGTTTTTTAGACTTTTGGCATCATCTGGTCCAACACCATGTGAGACTAGGCTCTAAGAAAAGCTGTCTCGGGTGTGGACCAATCAACTTCAAGGACAGTGCATACATTATCAGAGTTGTGTATTTGGTTTGCATTCCGCCCGCTGGTATTGTGGTCAATGCAAACATGACTCCTTGTAAAAAGGTGTCAGTTTTGTTTCCAGATAAAAGGGTAGAAAACCAATTATCATATTTTGCTACTGGCAAAGGAGGTTCCAATGGTGATATAAATATTGTTGATTATGTTGTTGGTGCTGTTGATGATAATGTTGATATTGATGTTGTTGATTGTGTTGATATTAATGTGGTTGATGTTGGTGTTGATAATGTTGATGATGTTAATGATGTTGATATCCATGTTGATGATGATATTGATAATATTAATGTTATAATTGGGTTTTTACCCTTCTATCTGGCAACAAAACTGACACCTTTTTACAAGGAGTCATGTTTGCATAGACCACAATACCTGCAGTCATGCAAACAAAAAAACATAACTCTGATAATGTGCACTGTCCTTGAAGTTGATTGGTCCACACCCGAGACAGCTTTCCTTAGAGCCTAGTCTCACATGGGTTGGACCAGATGACGCCAAAAGGCGCACAACTCAAAGACAATGCACCATCAGAGTATGAGAGCATTATGACTGCAGGTATTGTGGTCTATGCAAACATGACTCCTTGTAAAAAGGTGTCAGTTTTGTTGCCAGATAGAAGGGTAAAAAACCAATTATCATATTTTTACTGGCAAATGAGGTTCCCATAGAATATTAATGTTGTTGATGTTGTTGATGATGTTGATATTAATGTTGTTGTTGATGTTGTTAACGTTTCCAGCCTCTTCCCCACGATGCCGCGTCACAACTACCACAAGGTGTCTGCGCTCGTCAAGTCGCTCTGCAGCAAACACGGCCTGGACTACCAGAGCAAGCCGCTCATGACCGCGTTCGGTGATATTGTGCGGTGAGACATGGGGGGCGGGGAGAGGGGGAGACACAGGGAGACACGGGGGACACGCGGGGGAGACGCGGGAGATAGAGGAGACGCGGGGTAGACATGGGAGAGACATGGGGAGACGTGGGGGAGACACGGGGAGATGAAGGAGACACGGGGTAGACACTGGGGAGACACGGGGTAGACACTGGGGAGACGCATAGGGGAGGCACGGGGGGACACGGGGAGACACGGGAAGACACAGGGGGACATGGGGAGACATGCGGGGGAGACGTGGGAGATGGTGGAGACATGTCGGGGGAGAAAAGGGAGAGACACGGGGAGATGAGACACTGCAGAGACACGGGGGGGGGGGGGAGACACACGGGGGGGGGGAGACACGGGGGGGGAGACGGGGGGGGGGAGACACAGGGGGGGAGACACGGGGGGGGGGGAGACACGGGGGGGGGAGACGGGAGGGGGGAGACACGTTGGGGAAGACACGGGGGGGGGGAGACACGTGGGGGAGACGCGTGGGGAAAGACACTGGGGGGGGGGAGACACGTGGGGGAAGACACGGGGGGGGGGGGAGAAACGGGGGGGGGAGACGGGGGTGGGTAGACACGGGGGGGGGAGACGGGGGGGGGGGAGACACGGGGGGGGGAGACACGGGGGGGGGGAGACACGGGGGGGGAGACACGGGGGGGGGAGACACGGGGGGGGGAGACACGGGGGGAGACACGTGATCGTGCTATCAGAGGACACAACCTCATAGCGTGTGATGAATATGCGACTTCGCGTGTGTGATGTCACGTGATGATGTCACCTGGTGATGTCATCCCCCCCCCTCCCCCACAGCTCCCTCAAGGTGTCTGGTGACCTCTGGCAGGATGCCTACCTCCAGCGGTGACCTCGTCGCCCCCACCTCCTCACCCCCCCTCCTCGTTAACTCATCAACCCCCACCTCCTTACCCCCCCCACCTCCTCATTAACTCATCAACCCCCACCTCATCACCCCCCCTTCACCCCCCCCCCTCGTTAACCCCCCCCCCCCTCCAACTCATCACCTCCCTCTTCACCCCCCTCGTTTGGGGCAAGTGCGCTCGCACCCCCGTTCATTTCAGCCAAGCTCAGTCACTCACTCACTCATTCACTCACTCATTCACTCATTCAGTCACTCACTTATTCAGTCACTCACTCATTCACTCACTCATTCATTCACTCATTCACTCAGTCACTCACTCACTTATTCAGTCACTCACTCATTCACTCACTCATCATTCACTCATTCACTCAGTCACTCACTCACTCAGTCACTCACTCACTCATTCACTCATTCACTCAGTCACTCACACACTCATTCACTCACTCATTCACTCAGTCACTCACTCACTCATTCACTCACTCATTCACTCAGTCACTCACTCATTCACTCACTCATTCAGTCACTCATTCAGTCACTCATTCACTCATTCACTCACTCGTTCACTCATTCACTCACTCACTTATTCAGTCACTCACTCATTCACTCACTCATTCAGCCACTCACTCATTCACTCACTCAGTCAGTCACTCACTCATTCACTCACTTACTTATTCAGGCAGGCAGTCACTCACTCATTCACTCACTCATTCACTCACTAACCAACCACTCACTCACCACTCACGCACCAACCACTCACTCACCAACCACTCACTCACCACTCACCAACCACTCACCAACCACTCACCAGCCACTCATTCACTCACTCACCACTCACTAACCAACCACTCACTAATTCACTAATTTACTCACTCACTCAACCAACTCAACTAATTCACTCACCCACTAATTCACTCACCCACCGACTCACCAATTAACTTACTGACCCCCTTCACACACTCACCCACACACACACACACCCACACACACGTCTAGCCTTTAACTTATTCAGTCACTCACTCATTCACTCACTCACTTATTCAGTTACTCACTCACTCTTTCACTCATTCATTCAGTCACTCACTCATTCACTCACTCATTCACTCAGTCACTCACTCATTCACTCATTTATTCAGTCACTCACTCATTCACTCGCTCATTCACTCAGTCACTCACTCATTCACTAACATTTCTCTCATTCACTCATTCATTCACTCATTCACTCACCACTCACGCACCAACCACTCACTCACCACTCACCAAACACTCACCAGCCACTCATTCACTCACCACTCACTAACCAATCACTCACTAATTCACTCACCCACCGACTCACCAATTAACTTACTGACCCCCTTTCACACACACACACACACCCACACACACGTCTAGCCTTTAACTTATTCAGTCACTCACTCATTCACTCACTTATTCAGTTACTCACTCACTCTTTCACCCATTCAGTCACTCACTCACTCAGTCACTCATTCACTCATTCACTCACTCACTCATTCACTCACTCACCACTCACTAACCAACCACTCACTAATTCACTAATTCACTCACCCACCGACTCACCAATTAACTTACTGATCCCCTTCACACACTCACCCATTTGCTCAGCCACACACACACGTCTAAGCCTTTAACAAGTGCCGTTAGCGAGCAGCGATTGTCCAAGCACCTACCCCGACCGCCTTTGTCTCCCCGCTAGCCATGGTGACTACACACACATAGGCATTCATTTCAGTCTGAGTCGACCTAGGGGAGGGCCCGGGACCGGCTCGAGATATTCGCCGGCCGTGAGCGGGAATCGAACTCGGGTCTCGCAGCGCCGCTAAGCCCTGCACCCACCGCTCCCGACGCGATTCGCCTTGATTTGTGGTTTTTTTTAATTTAAGACATTAAATGGTGAAGTGATGAAGCAAACGACGCCATTTGTCACGTTCTGTGCGAGTTCTCCTACCACCCTCCTCCTCCCCGTCTCTCTCTCTCTCTCTGTGGGTGTCTGGATCCTGGCACGGGTCAGCACAACAGTGGGGCTGTGCAGGTGCTTGTGGTGGTGGTGCTACTGCTGCACTTGATTGTGGTGGTGGTGTTGGTGGTTGTGGTGGTGTTGGTGCTGCACGTGGTGGTGGTTGTGGTGGTGGTGCTGCTGCTGCACTTGATTGTGGTGGTGGTGGTGCTGCTGCTGCACGTGGTGGTGGTGCTGCTGCTGCACTTGATTGTGGTGGTGGTGCTACTGCTGCTGCACGTGGTGGTGGTGGTTGTGCTACTGCTGCTGCTGCACGTGGTAGTGGTGGTGGTGCTACTGCTGCTGCACTTGATTGTGGTGGTGGTTGTGGTGGTGGCTGTGCTGCTGCTGCTGCACCTGGTGGTGCTGCTGCTGCACGTGGTGGTGGTGCTGCTGCTGCACTTGATAGTGGTGGTTGTGGTGGTGGTGCTACTGCACGTGGTGGTGGTGGTTGTGGTGATGGTGCTGCTGCTGCTGCACTTGGCGGTGGTGGTGGTTGTGGTGGCAATGATGCTGCTGCTGCACATGATTGTGGTGGTGGTTGTGGTGGTGGCGATGCTGCTGCACATGGCTGTGGTGGTGGTTGTGGTGGCTATGATGATGCTGCTGCTGCACATGATTGTGGTGGTGGTGGTTGTGGTGGTGGCTATGATGATGCTGCTGCTGCACGTGGCTGTGGTGGTGGTGGTTGTTGCTGCTGCTGCACATGGCTGTGGTGGTGGTTGTGGTGCTGCTGCTGCACACGGCTGTGGTGGTGGTGGCTATGATTATGATGCTGCTGCTGCACATGCTGGTGGTGGCAATGCTGCACTGGGTGGTTTTGGCGATGCTACTGCGGCCGCACATTGTTGTGTTGGTGGTTGTGTTGGTTCTGGTGGTGGTGGTTGTGGTGGTGGTGGCTATGCTGCTGCTGCTGCTGGAGGTGGCTGTCTGGAATCATCCAGCAACTGTTCAGGCAGCAGCAGCAGCAGTAGCAGCAGCGAGGGTTGGTGGATCACGCACAGATGGGTCGTGAAACTCCCTTGTCGCGGGTGTCGGGGAGGAGCCGTGTACCCCCCTTGGCTCTGCTGCCAGGAGGTGGTGGAACAGGTGGAGATGAGTCCACGTGCGTGTGCAGGCGTATGAATATTGAACTTCTTTCGCGCCGTACATAGCCAGCAGTCCTAATCGGAGCTGTTGCACCGTCTGCACCGTTGCTGGATGATGACTGACAGCCGCCACTTGCAGCAGATGCAGCAGTAGCAGCATCGCCACCACCACCACATGCAGCAGCAGGAGCAGAGCCACCAATACCAACAGCCGCCATTCGCCACTATGTAGTGGTGATGTCACCACGGTGCCTGTGCCAGGCCAGGTACAGGTCAGGGGACAGACCCAGGTGGTGCTATGGGTTGTACTGCTGTGCCAGGCTAGGTGCAGGAGGTCACGGAAGAGACCCAGGTGGTGCCATGGGTTTTACTGCTGTGCCAGGCTAGGTGCAGGAGGTCACGGGACACACCCAGGTGGTGCCATGGGTTTTACTGCTGTGCCAGGCTAGGTGCAGGAGATCACGGGACAGACCCAGGTGGTACCATGGGTTAACTGCTGTGCCAGGCTAGGTGCACGAGTTCACGGAAGAGACCCAGATAGTGCCATGGGTTTTACTACTGTGCCAGGCTAGGTGCACGAGGGCACGGAAGAAACGCAGGCGGTGTCATGGGTTTCACTACTGTGCCAGGCTAGGTGCAGGTCACGGGACAGACAGGTGGTGCCATGGGTTATACTGTTGTGCCAGGCTAGGTGCACGAGTTCACGGAAGAGACCCAGATAGTGCCATGGGTTTTACTGCTGTGCCAGGCTAGGTGCACGAGTTCACGGAAGAGACCCAGATAGTGCCATGGGTCTTACTACTGTGCCAGGCTAGGTGCAGCATTGCTCCTGTGCCCCTCCGCTGTTTGTTGTCGGGAGCGGCGACTGCCTCACAGCTGACCAATTACCCTCGCTGTGCACCTAGCCTGGCACTGCCCAGTAGCAGCAACAGCAGCGTCCTTCACGAGCCTCATCATCATCATCATCGCCCTCCTCCTCCGCAGGGGCCGATCTTGACACCAGCTGCAGCAGCAGGGCCAACCCTACCGCGGCCGCCAATCCGTTAATCGACGTCCGCTCCGGGTGCCGAGAGCCAGAACTCCGCAACCCGTCGTGGTGGTGGTGACCCTTAGCCATTGAGCACGCGGCGCCACGCAAAGACTACGGAACGCCCTGCCGCGCCGCGTGGTCACACGGGGTGAGGGTCGCGTCTTCCCGAAAGTCTCGCCCGTTTCGCCCGCAAGGCCCACACACACATTTGCCACGACGGTGGGACCCCACCAACGGACACTGGACCACCCCGCGCATTTGTCGAGTTCCTGACTTGGTGCGTAGCGCGCGCTGAGATCCGCGGATGAACTGCGTCTTCAGGAATGTCAATGAGTATCTTTATTGTTTGTTATTGACTCGGACCGATGGGTTCGAGGCACGGGCCAAACACCGCAGAGTATGATTCGACGGGAGGTGGGGGTAGGCATTGGAAGTGTGCGCTTCCAGTGTGGAATATATGTAAAGGTTTTACAAAAAACAAAGTAAAATCTACTGACCGTTTCAAAGCACTTATTCTAGGCATGCGGATGATGACAGCAGCAGCAGCAGCAGGGATGTGGTTTTTCAGTTACTAACGACCCATAGACTAACACTGGACCCATAGACTAACGCTGGACCCATAGACTAACACTGACCCATAGACTAACACAGGACCCATAGACTAACACCGGACCCATAGAATAACACTAGACCCATAGACTAACACTGGACCCATAGACTAAACACCGGACCCATAGAATAACACCGGACCCATAGACTAACATTGGACCCATAGACTAACACCGGACCCATAGACTAACACCTGACCCATAGACTAACACCAGACTCATAGACTAACACTGGACCCATAGACTAAACACTGGACCCATAGACTAACACTGGACCCATAGACTAACACTAGACCCATAGACTAACACTGGACCCATAGACTAACACTGAACCCATAGACTAACACTGGACCCATAGACTAAACACCGGACCCATAGAATAACACCGGCCCATAGACTAACACCGGACCCATAGACTAACACTGGACCCATACACTAACACTGGACCCATAGACTAACACCGGACCCATAGACTAACACTGGACCCATAGACTAACACCGGACCCATAGACTAACACTGGACCCATAGACTAACACTGGACCCATAAACTCAACGCTGGACCCATAGAATAACACCGGACCCATAGACTAACACTGGACCCATACACTAACACTGGACCCATAGACTAACACCGGACCCATAGACTAACACTGGACCCATAGACTAACACCGGACCCATAGACTAACACTGGACCCATAGACTAACACTGGACCCATAGACTCAACGCTGGACCCATAGACCTAACACTGCATCCATAGTCATAACACTGGACCCATAGACTTAAAACTGGACACAATCTAACACTGGACCCATAGACTCAACACTGGACCCATAGATTCAACACTGGACCCATAGACTAACATTGGAGGAGGAGGAGGGAGTGTGGAGGAGGTAGGAGGGAGGATTTGCGATGGTGGAAGAGGGAGGGTGCAGGAGGGAGGGTGCAGGAGGGAGGATGAAGGATGGAGGGTGAAGGATAGAGGGTGAAGGAAAGAGGGTGAAGGAGGGAGGGTGAAGGAGGGAGGGTGAAGGAGGGAGGGTGAAGGATAGGAGGGTGAAGGAGGGAGGGTGGATGAGGGAGGGTGGATGAGCGAAGAGGAGTGGTGGTGACACGGCACGAACGCTCTCTGCTGAAGCTCGCCTCTTCTCTTATAGTGGCAGGAGCAGCAGTTGGACCTCCACATTGGCCTCCAGCTCCTGGACAACCACGTCGCTGCCGCCGCTGCTGCAGCTTCTGCTGCTACTGGCATCACCACCGTCATGCAAAAGCGTAGAATAGCCCTGACCCTGTCACCCTGGCTGGGAGAAGAGGTCCCACAGGTCGCGATCTGCTGCCCTGCCTCAAGGGCAGGACAGGTCTCCCCGAATGCTGCCCTCCGGCTTCTTGGACACTTGCTTATTGTGCATGTTCAGGCTGTAGTAGGAGTCTGTAAGAGTGAGGGCAAGAGACCAGGCATAGGGGAGAGGGCATTAGAATGGTCAGTGTAAGGTGGCGTGATGACAAATCTGGTTCTTGTAGACCTCCTGAACTTAGCATGACGGTTAGTCCTCTTTCTCTGGGATTCCTGGATGAGACATTGACAAGCTGGCTTCTTTCGACCTTCTGGAGATGGGTGACAGTCCTGGAGCTATATCCCTTTCTGTATATTATTATGTTACTCATCCTGGGCCTCACAATACTTCCTGGAGATACTCCTATGACAGCCCCTGAGTCTCTACAACTCTTGGATATGAGGTTGTCTCTCACTGCTTGTGTATTGGTCTTCGTGTCTGTGTCTTACAAATTTCACACTTAACTTTTAATTTAGCAATCTTTGGAAGAACGTAATCAACCAGGCTATGCGTTAATTGTGTGTTGACCGACCCTCTGTGTTGCATTGCATTACATTTCGAAATTTTGCTAGGTTTATTTGATTTAGTGTACTTTGTCTGTCTCCACTCGTTTTGTCGTTCTTATGTTCTGCTCTCTCTGTGTGTCTCGGCTATTGTCCATCTCCCTCTCTGCAGCGTGCCACTCATTGATATGCTAATTTCTCTAACCCCTCCCTCTCTCTCCGCCCCCACCCCCTCTTTCTATTTAAGGCCTCGACACAGAGATGTGGTTTCTCTGTGTGCCTATGTACGTCTCTCTCTATGTATCTCTGTGATATATGTCTCTACTTATATGTCTGTCTATGTGTCTCTGGTTCTGTGTTTTATCTCTCTCTCAAATTTAGCATTCTCAGGAAGAACGTAATCAACCAGGTAAGGTGAGGACTGTTATGTTATCCGACTCTCTGTTGTATTACATTACATTTCTAAGTATACTAGATTTGTGTTTCTATTTCATTTATACCTGATGATGATTGCTTGTGTTGCAATCGAAACGTCGTCGTATGCTAGTATTTAATTTATTATTTTCTCTTTATACATGACTTTACCAAAAGAACCAGAGAGTAATTCCTGCAGTCACGAAAGCTCCAAATTAGGTGATGGAGAACCCTGGGTTTCCTCTGGACCAGTGGTTCTTAACCTGGGGTATACGGCACCCTCTGGGCGTGGCTAGACATGGCCAGATGTTCTTTGGTTCTTTCAGTAAAGTCACGAACCAAAGAATATGGATCCTTGCAGTCACGAAAACTTCAAATCTAGAATAGAGGTTTTTGTTGGGGTTAGATCGTATGAATGTAAATGTGTCGTTAATTCCTCCACCACCACCACCCGACACAGCCAATGAGTATAGGGTTTGTCACGTAAACCAAACGTGACCATTCCTTACTAGTTCAGAAAGAACTGGTTGTGTGATGGAGAGTGAACCCACGACAACATTTAACAATTCGAGATACCGTGAAGGTAAATAATTGAAAACAAAAATTAAGCACGGACACTTAACTCCAACAACCCCTATGTGTTTATTAACATTGTGCATTTCTTGTTTTACGATTAGAGAACCAAAGTGGTGCCAAGGCTGCAGTAAAGGTTAAGAATCCCTTGCTCTAGACCTTCAGGGAATGGCATTGAAAGGCCTGGAGACATCTTGCCTTTCATGGCTATGATGTGGGTCTCTATATCCTCTTGGAGACACAACGATGAATTGGAGAAACCTGGGTTCGCCTAGACCTACAGAGAATGGCATTGCAAGGCCTGGGGACCTCTTTCCTTCATGGCTATAATGTGGATCTCTATGTCCTCTTAGAGATATACTAATGTATTGGAGAACCCTGGGTTCCCCTAGACCTTCAGGGAATGGCATTGAAAGGCCTGGATAAATCTTTCCTTCATGGCTATGACGTGGGTCTCTATATCCTCTTGGAGACACAACGATGAATTGGAGAACCCTGGGTTCCCCTAGACCTTCAGGGAATGGCATTGCAAGGCCTGGATAAATCTTTCCTTCATGGCTATGACGTGGGTCTCTATATCCTCTTGGAGACACAACGATGAATTGGAGAAACCTGGGTTCGCCTAGACCTTCAGGAAATTACTTTGCAAGGCCTGGGGACCTCTTTCCTTCATGGCTATAATGTGGGTCTCTATATCATCTTGGAGACACAACGATGAATTGGAGAACCCTGGGTTCCTCAAGACCTTCAAGAAATGGAATTGGAAACCCTGGGGTTGGTTTTTGTTAGACTTGTCTGCAGGGCATTCATCCCGGGCGGGGGTGGGGGGGAAGTGGAATCTACGCGAACGCCGAAAAGCAATTGTCTCCCTTTCGTCTTCCTCCCCGTCGTCTCTCTCAATCGCTCTCACCTCTGACGACGACGAAGTGCCGGTAGGAAATCCGGGCTGCGGGCACCGCCGGCGCAATGGGCCTCGTGAAGACGGAGGAGTAGTCGAGGGGGAAGCCCTTCCAGTGAATGTGGATCGAGCCAAACTGCAGCTGACCTGGCACACGGGAAATGCACAGCGTGGTCTTGGGGTTGGGTCTCCGGTTCGGGCGGTTAGCCGTCCGCATTACGGCCACAGAGTTAGGGTCGTAGCATTAGGGCAACAGGGTTAGCGTCAGGGTTAGGCTTCAGGATCACGGTGATAGGGGTATAATCATAGTGTTTAGGCCAGGGTCAGGTTTAGGATTATAGGGTTAGGGCTATAGCATTAAGGCACATGGTTAGAGTCAGGGTTAGTCTTTAGGTCCAGGGTTAGCGTTGTGGTCACAGGGTTAGGAGTAAGGTCATAGCATGAAGGTACAGGGTTAGATTCAGGGTTTAGGTTCTGGGTCATGGTGAGGATTAAAGGATTACACTGGTCAACAAAAAAAAAAACTTTTATTCTGGCCTGGACTTTGCAGCTGTTTTAGACTAATTTCAGGGTGCCGATTCCAAATCTGATCTCAGATTTGCTCTATCACATCTCATTTTTATGCTATCGGCATACCCCATTTTCATTGATTTTACCCGAAATTAACTCTGTCACTTATGATTGCAAGTTGATGCGAGTCAGTGACTGCTTTAGTGTTAAAATATGGTGCTGTATTTTTAGGATGGTGTGTTTATAATATCATTTTATGTAGATATCCATATTTATTTAATATTTTTCTTCTGCAGTTTTTATTGAAAATGCAATATTTGATATCTCAAAAACCTGATGCGATAGACAAAAACTGATGCCAGATTTGAAATTAACACCCCAAAATTACATTAAAACCGTTGGAATACCTTATGCCAGAAAAAGTGTGTTGACCAGTGTTATGGTTAGGGTCACGGTGTTCAGGAACAAGATTAGAGTCAGAGTTAGGCTTTCGGTTCAGGGTTAGGATTATGGTTTGGGTCATAGTGTTAACACAGGGTTAGAGGTCATGGGTCAGAGTTCAGGTCATCGTCGTGCCAGACTTACTTTTGGAGCTTCTGGTGTCCACGGCACGGCCCCTGCGTAACTGGAAATGGATCCTCGCTTGGGATGCTGGACATTCGTGTTTCTTGAACAGGTACTTTGCCACGGTAGGTCCTGAACATCATCGTTACGATCATCATCATCGTCGTCATTGTCGCCGTCATAATCCTCATCACCACCGCCATCAATATCAACGTCATCTTTACCACCTTCTTGGTTCTTTCGGTAAAGTCACGTGGAAGGGAAATAATAAAATAATAAAAATTTTACATTTATAAAATAATTCTCACGACGTTTTGGCCACAATGCAAGCAGCCGTCCTCAGGTGAAGACCAGGTCTGTCGGGGAGACAGCGTCTGAAAAACGTCGTGAGAATTGTATTTTATTATGTTTTATTTTTATTATTTTATTATTTCCCTTCTACGTGACTTTACCGAAAGAACCAAGAAGATGAATCCCTGCAGTCACGAAAGCTTTAAATGGAAATCTTTACCACTATCAGTATCCATGATCGTTATCATCGTCGCCGCCTTTAACATTATTAATACCCTTTGGTTCTTTCGGTAAAGTCACGTATAAAGATAAAATAATAAATTAAATAATAACATACAACGTTTCGATTGCAACACAAGCAATCATCATCAGGTATAAATGAAATAGCAACAAAAATCTAACCAGAAAACTGCGAATTGCCCGATGATGCTGGATGCAATTACCAGCGAAACGTCGTACTCAAATTGTAAATGTTGTGGTTTCACGCTTCAACACACCGGTGGGGCTAAAGCAGTGAACTATTTGTCTTTTGTCAACGTGACACTTTTTTACTGATTGGCCGTGTCGAGTGGTGGAGGGTTACGACACATTTATAAATAACGCGGCGATCTAAACCCAAAAACGTTGATTATGAATAATATTGGTCGCGAAAACCTACGTGTTAAACTGACATCGGTGGAGGTGGGTTAGGACATTACCCTGAAACAGAAACACGTGCTCCGACCCCCGCTTTTCCCCAGGCACTGGGAGGGCCGCCGTGATGGGACCTTGGAGTCCGCTGAACCCTTGCGAGATGAGCTTTGGGTACCCCATGTCTGGGACTCCATTATCCAGGCGCCAGTACTTATCCCCCTGTGACGCACACACACACACACAATACGCACGCGGTACGCACGCGAGACATACACAATTGAACACGTAGTAGTAGGGCTTTAGCCAACAATATTTTCCAAAATAGAGGGTTTTTTTTACTCTTTGTATAATTCGGTAAAGTCACGTAGGTAAAAATAAAAAAAAATGAAAACGAATGAAATTAAGATAATTGTTTTTTTACCCTTTTATCTGGCAATAAAACTGACACCTTTTTTTACGAGGAGTCATGTTTCCATAGACCACAATGCCTGCGGTCGGAATGCAAACAAAAAACATAACTCTGATAATGTATGCACTGTCCTTGAAGTTGATTGGTCCACACCCGAGACAGCTTTCCTTAGAGCCTAGTCTCACATTGGTTGGACCAGATGATGCCAAAAGGCGCACAACTCAAAGACAATGCACCATCAGAGTATGAGAGCTTGGGGTAAGCATTTACACCATTGGAACCTCATTTGCCAGTAAAAAATATGATTGTTTTTTTTTACCCTTCTATCTTGCAACAAAACTGACACTTTTTACGAGGAGTCATGTTTGCATAGACCACAATACCTGCAGTCATAATACAAACAAAAAAGACAACTCTGATAATGTGCACTGTCCTTGAAGTTGATTGGTCCACACCCGAGACAGCTTTCCTTAGAGCCTCGTCTCACATGAGTTGGACCAGATGACGCCAAAAGGCACCTTTAAAAAAAAAATTATCATATTTTTTACTGGCAAATGAGGAACCAATGCTGTCAATGAAATAAAATCACGACCTTTCGGAAGCAACACCTACGCTTCAGTAATTTTGCTGGAGCAGTCGCACCTGATTATGGTTGCTTGTGTTGCTTCCGAAACGTCGTGATTTTATTTATTTGTTTTCATTTTTATTTATTTTATTTTTTACCTACGTGACTTTACCGAAAAAAACAAACAGTATGGATCCTTGCAGTCACGAAAACTTCAAATCTAGAATAGAGGTTTGTGTTGGGGTTTGATCGTATGAATGTAAATGTGTCGTTAATCCCTCCACCACCACCACCCGACACAGCCAATGAGTATAGGGTTTGTCACGTAAATTAAACGTGCCCATTCCTTACTCGTTCAGAACTAACTGGTTGTGTATTGGAGAGTAAACCCACGGCAACATTTACCAATTCGAGATACCGTGAAGTTTCGCCAGTTATTCCAACAACAACTAGCATCATGGGACCTCCTTTGCCAGTACCAAAAATATGAGAATAGGTTTTCCCCTTTTAATCATTGTTACACGCTTTGATTGAACTCACTGTCTGTTCTTCTTGGTTCTTTCGGTAAAGTCACGTAGAAGGGAAATAATAAAAGAATAAAAATAAAACATAATAAAATAATTCTCACGACGTGAGACGCTGTTTTCCCGACAGACCTGTTCTTCACCTGAGGACGGCTGCTTGCGTTGTGGCCGAAACGTCGTGAGAATTATTTTATTATGTTTTATTTTTATTCTTTTATTCTTTCTCTTCTACGTGACTTTACCGAAAGAACCAAGAAGATGAATCCCTACAGTCACGAAAGCTTTAAATCGAAATTTCACTGTCTGTTGTTGTCATTGTATCCTCAAATCTTGTAACTCATTTTAACCCACTTCCCAATGTGGTATCGACTGCAAACTTGGTATACTTATGTCATTCTGATGACAATATTATATTCTATAATTAAAAAAAAACATTTTAAACGATCGTTTTACATGCTTTCTATGAACTCTGTTGTTGGACTTGGATCAGGTAGGACTCAGGTGGCTGGGGCATGTGCTTAGAATGGAACCAGAGTTCCAGAGTGAAAGCTACCGTAAGTTGGACACCACACGGGAAAAGACCACAGGGGCAGGCCGGAGACCACCTGGAGGCTATGGGCCTGTCTTGGGGTGAACCAGAGCAAGCTGTTGGAACCTCATTTGCCAGTAAAAAATGATAATTGTTTTTTTACCCTTCTATCTGGCAACAAAACTGACACCTTTTTTACAAGGAGTCATGTTTGCATAGACCACAATACCTGCAGTCATAATGCAAACAAAACACACAACTCTGATAATGTGCACTGTCCTTGAAGTTGATTGGTCCACACCCGAGACAGCTTTCCTTTGTTGCCAGATAGAAGGGTAAAAAAACAATTATCATTTTTTACTGGCAAATGAGGTTCCAATGGTGTAAATGCTTACCCCGAGCTCTCATACTCTGATGGTGCATTGTCTCTGAGTTGTGCGCCTTTTGGCGTCATCTGGTCCAACCCATGTGAGACTAGGCTCTAAGGAAAGCTGTCTCGAGGGTGGACCAATCAACTTCAAGGACAGTGCATACATTATCAGAGTTATATTTTTGTTTGCATTATGACTGCAGGTATTGTGGTCTATGCAAACATGACTCCTCGTAAAAAATAGGTGTCAGTTTTGTTGCCAGATAGAAGGGTAAAATAACAATTATCAGAACAAGCTGCTTTGAAGGCCAACCAGCATGGCATGGGCTTGTTGACGCGGTGCTGCGTCATTGACATATACCGAATGTGGAGCATCGAGGCCTCCCCCGTACCTTGAAGATGTAGGTCTTGGGCTGACAGCTACAGCGGGTGAACATGGCGTCGATTGGGGAAGGCACCCGCCACACCGTGGAGACCCTTTGTGGGACCAACCTCAGTCTCAGGTTCCAGAAGAACGGCCCTGATGGTGGAGGGGACATCCGCAGCTTAGCATGCTGAGGGTGGCACAACACAGCAGCAGCAGCAGCAGGGGGGAGCTCTACTGCTCATAGACTAACATTGTACTATAGACTAGCATTGTACCATAGACTAGCATTGTACCACAGACTAACATTGTACCATAGTCTAACATTGTACCATAGACTAACATTGTACCATAGACTAGCATTGTACCACAGACTAGCATGGTACCACAGACTAGCATTGTACCATAGACTAACATTGTACCATAGACTAGCATTGTACCATAGACTAACATTGTACCATAGACTAGCATTGTACCATAGACTAGCATTGTACCACAGACTAGCATGGTACCACAGACTAACATTGTATCATAGACTAACATTGTACCATAGACTAGCATTGTACCATAGACAGACATTGTACCATAGACTAGCATTGTACCACAGACTAACAGTGTACCATAGACTAGCATTGTACCATAGACTAGCATTGTACCATAGACTAGCATTGTACCATAGACTAACAGTGTACCATAGATTAGCATTGTACCATAGAATAACAGTGTACCATAGACTAGCAGTGTACCATAGACTAGCATTGTACCATAGACCAACAGTGTACCATAGACTAGCATTGTACCATAGACTAGCATTGTACCATAGACTAGCATTGTACCATAGACTAACAGTGTACCATAGACTAGCCGTGTACCATAGACAGACATTGTACCATAGACTAGCATTGTACCATAGACTAACAGTGTACCATAGACTAGCAGTGTACCATAGACAGACATTGTACCATAGACTAGCATTGTACCATAGACTAGCATTGTACCATAGACTAGCATTGTACCATAGTCTACCATTGTACCATAGCCTAACTCTGTACCATATTCTAACATTGTACCATAGACAAGCATTGTACCATAGACTAACATGGTACCACAGACTAACATTGTACCATAGACTAACATTGCACATAGACTAGCATTGTACCATAGACTAACAGTGTACCATAGACTAGCAGTGTACCATAGACAGACATTGTACCATAGACTAGCATTGTACCATAGACTAGCATTGTACCATAGACTAGCATTGTACCATAGTCTACCATTGTACCATAGCCTAACTTTGTACCATATTCTAACATTGTACCATAGACAAGCATTGTACCATAGACTAACATGCTACCACAGACTAACATTGTACCATAGACTAACATTGCACATAGACTAACATTGTACCATAGTCTAACTTTGTACCATAGACTAACATTGTACCATAGACTAACATTGTACTACAGACTAGCATTGTACCATAGACTAACATTGTACCATAGACTAGCATTGTACCATAGTCTAACTTTGTACCATAAACAGACATTGTACCATAGACTAACAGTGTACCATAGACAGACATTGTACCATAGACTAACATTGTATCATAGACTAACATTGTACCATAGACAGACATTGTACCATAGACTAACATTGTACCATAGACTCGCATTGTACCATAGACTAGCAGTGTACCATAGACAGACATTGTACCATAGACTAGCATTGTACCATAGACTAGCATTGTACCATAGACTAGCATTGTACCATAGACTAGCATTTTACTAGCATTTTACCATAGACTAGCATTGTACATAAATACGTGTTGCCTCCTACGAAGACTCCGTCTCCTTACAAACCCACTACACATGGCCACAATCGCACCACTGTGACTTGTGACTGTAATGTCGCACAATATGGAGGAGATGCGGTGCAACATCAGCGTGGTGATGTTCTAGCGGATGCGGTCAATGGTTCCGCTGGTGACTTCAAGAAGGAGGAGGAAGTCAAATCCAGGTGGAGGTGTGCGATGATGTTTTGGTGTTTAATGAAGAGGTGTGTATTCGATCATGATCAGTTCTATAACGATTTAAAGCTTTCGTGACTGCAGGGATTCATCTTCTTGGTTCTTTCGGTAAAGTCACGTAGAAGGGAAGTAATAAAATAATAAAAATAAAACATAATAAAATAATTCTCACGACGTTTCGGAGGCAACACAAGCTTCCGTCTTAAGGTGGAACCGTCACAGCACGATAGCTGTATAAATCATTTACTTGATACAGCTATGATGCCGCCGCCACGAAGCCGTTCGGCAGGCGCCCCATCCCCGTCTTCGCCACCACCAAGCGACGGAGCCAACCCCTCGTCCCCCTCACCTCACCTCACATGAACACACCCGCACGCATTCCCCGCCCCCCCCCCCCAATAGAGCTGGAAGAGAAGGTCACCTGATCGACTGGTTTTTATCCGAGAAACCCTTATCGGGATTAACTCTCACGGTTTCCGGCGATCAGGGAATTGGACGACCTCCCCCGACGCTACTTTGCACCGCGGCGCTGCGACCGGCCTTAAGATGGTATGGCCGCGGTTGAAGCGCATCCCCCACACACACCACCCACGTGTCGACGGGGCAAGCAGGGGAGGGACCGCAGGGGCTCTTGCGCATAGTCACGGAGGGTTGGGATAATTACGCTTGAGCGCGCAGGCACCATTGTTAGAGAGGGTAAGGGATTAATTAGGATTTACGCCACGCACGCCGCACATTGATTAGCATATCAAAAACGCCCGGAACCGCCGTGCGCGTGCTAGGGGGCAAGAGCCCATTGTTAAGGAAGAACTCAGAGCCGCATCCCTTTGATGTAGGCAGGATAAATAGGGGGCTCAAAGGGGAAATCGCTCTCTCACTCCAGCGCCAGGGACAGGACGCTCTCCAGTCCAGCGACCCGGACGTCCGTGCGACGCATCAAGGTACGCTGCTGGCACAGGGATCAACGGACCGCCGTGAGCACCTAACCGTGAGTAGCAAGGTGAATTAGGATCATAGCCGATAAATAGAGAATAGATTCAGGGGTGGTAGAATAGGCCAGCCTCGTCGACCCATACTGACTCCACAACCAGTTCCAGGTAGCAAATAATAAATCCTTAATAGCTGCCCGTGTCTCCGTGTGATCTCGCTGAGAAGTGGGAACGCGTGTGGTGCTGTGTACACAGCGGCTTGTCACGTGGGAGCGCTGCGTAGAGCTGCGCAAAAGTGGGTATCGCGTGGGTGCAGGTGTGTGCGCTCGTAGCGTGGGGAAAGGGCTCGGTGCGCCCACAGGTACCAGCTCCGTCTATCACCGCAGGGACTCGCGCAGTGTGAGGGCAGCGTCATTCGCCCTCCGACCCCTGACCCCCATTTAATAGCGCGTGATTCATGGAGAGACAACGCAGCGTTTACAGGTGAACGAGAGCGTGCGGCGAGCTATGCCTCTCACACGAGCTCGCGGAGGGACGGACAAGGGAGGGGAGCCGTCGGGCGATGAGCCCAGCGATGGCAGCAGCTGCTCGCAGAGTAGCGAGGGGTCGACGAATAGCAGAGCCCCTGCCATAGGCACGGAGCAGGGAGGGACTTCGGGGACCAGCGGCCCCAACACAGCTATCGTGCTGTGACGGTTCCACCTGAAGACGGAAGCTTGTGTTGCCTCCGAAACGTCGTGAGACATATTTTATTATGTTTTATTTTTATTATTTTATTACTTCCCTTCTACGTGACTTTACCGAAAGAACCAAGAAGACAGTTCTATAACGGTCAGGAGGCCTGCAAGCCACACACATCCGGGATCAAAACTCGTACCTTTCACCACGACAGTGTCTCCGTTGGGCAAAGTCGATATTCCGCTCACCGGTCTCTCATTGCAGATGTCCTTGTCCACGTAGTCTGTACACCAGAGGAGAGGGACGGTGGTACACAACATCAAATTGCCATGAAGAGTGGCAGCCAAGGTTATAATAGTGGCAGTGCCATCGTAGTTATCATCGTAGACTGATACTGGGCCCGTAGACTAGCACTCACCCATAGATTAACACTGATCCATAGACTAACACCAGAACTATAGACTAACACTGGACCCATAGACTAACACTGGCTCCGTAGTCTAACATTTGGACCCATTGACTAACGCTGAACCCATAGACTAACACCGAACCTATAGACTAACACCAGACACATAGACTAACACTGGACTCATAGACTCAACACTGGATCCATAGACTAACACTGGACCCACATTAGCACTGAACCCATATACTATAACTAGACCCATAGACTAACACCAAACACATAGACTAACACTAGACCCATAGACTATAACTATACCCATAAATTAACACTGGACCCGTAGACTCAAGCCAGACAGAGACTAAAAAACCTGTTTCAAAAAAAATTGCTACGTTTGTTATCTCAAACTGCCTATTTCTCACCAAAAATGTACCAGGCTCTCATAGGTCAATTCGCTCTTTCTCTCCCCCGGCCGCTTCGGCGTGGATTTCCACAAAACTCTCTCTAAAATTCACCAGTCTTCTTGGTTCTTTCGGTAAAGTCACGTAGAAGGGAAGTAATATAATAATAAAAAGAAAACATAATAAAATCATTCTCACGACGTTTCGGCCACAACGCAAGCAGCCGTCCTCAGGTGAAGCTTTAAATCGAAAAATTTCACCAGACTTGCTGGGTCTTTCTCTCCTCCAGCCACCGCGGGGTGAATTTCCACACAGGTCTCTCATTGACATGCTAATTTCTCTGCTCCAGCAGACCCACCTCTCTCTCTGCCTCCACCCCTCTCTATTTAAGGCCACGACACAGAGGCATTGGGTCTCTGTGTGTCTATGTTGTGTGTCTCTCTCTCTGTGTGTCTCTGTGTTGTCTCTCTCTGCTTAGTGTGTCTGTCTGTGTGTCTATGTGTGTGTCTCTCTCTGTGTGTCTCTGTGCGTGTCTCTCTCTGCTTGTGTCTGTCTGTGTATCTATGTGTGAGTCTCTCTCTGTGAGTCTCTCTCTGTGTGTCTCTGGGTGTCTCTCTCTCTGCTTGTGTCTGTCTGTGTATCTATGTGTGAGTCTCTCTCTGTGTGTGTCTATGTTGTGTGTCTCTCTCTGTGTGTCTCTGTGTGTGTCTCTCTCTGCTTGTGTCTGTCTGTGTGTCTATGTGTGAGTCTCTGTGTGTGTGTCTATGTTGTGCGTCTCTCTGTGTGTCTCCGTGTGTGTCTCTCTCTGCTTGTGTGTCTGTCTGTGTCTATGTTGTGTCTCTCTCTGTGTGTCTTTGTGTTCTCTCTCTCTCTCTCTCTGCTTGTGTGTCTGCCTGTGTGTCTCCGTGTCTGTGTTTTTGTCTCTCTCTCAAATTTAGTTCTACCTGATTACGGTTGCTTGTGTTGCAATCGAAACGTCGTATTCTATTATTTAATTTATTTTCTTTCTACGTGACTTTACCGAAAGAACCAAAGAATAATTCCTGCAGTCACGAAAGCTTCAAATCAAGTTAGAATACCTGTCTTTGCCACTGGGACTTGCCCACGATAGTTACCTGTGGTTTTCATCGTTGGGACTTGCACTCTGGGCGGCCGATACGTGCTGCCCTCCCCAGACCCATTGTCAGGCCACGATTGGTCGGTGGTCATCTTTCCGGGTCTGCGGGTGATCACTCTGTACACGGCCGGGATGGAGATAAGCAATGGACAATAACTGATGGCGATAGAAAAAAAACAGCCGGTGAGTTTTAGTTTAAATTTTTTACGTGGTGGTTTAGCTGCTGCAGCTCCTTACTATTAAAATTCCTTCCCTTTATTACTGCTAACCCTACCTCCTCCCTTTGATGCTGCTAATCCTACATAATGCACGGGCATAATATGACTTTGAGACCCCCCCCCCCCACCTCCTACGCATTCCACAAGTATTGACTAATCCCATATCTGCATTTTCCATAAATATGCTAAATTTATCTGCTGATATGCAAATTCCTTTGTCAAGGCGCCCTTCCTCCCCTAACCCAGCTTAAATATACGCTGCCAAGCTTGGTGGTGCTCATTCAGACGCTGTCTTTCCGACAGACCTGTTCTTCACCTGAGGACGGCTGCCTGCGTTGTGGCCGAAACGTCGTGAGAATTGTATTATTTTATTATGTTTTATTTTTATTTATTTTTATTATTTCCCTTCTACGCGACTTTACCGAAAGAACCAAGAAGATGAATCCCTGCAGTCACGAAAGCTTTAAATCGAAGCTTACTCTTAGTTTTTTCATCGCTGAAGTCACGTCGGTAAAAAAATAAAATAATAAATCAATTGAATTAAATGACGACGTTTCGGAAGCAACACAAGCAATCAAATCTTCGTGATTTAATTTAGTTGTTTTCAACAACTAACAGGTCTGTCTTTCCGACAGACCTGTTCTTCACCTGAGGACGGCTGCTTGCGTTGTGGCCGAAACGTCGTGAGAATTGTATTATTTTATTGTGTTTTATTTTTATTACTTTATTATTTCCCTTCTACGTGGTGACTTACCGAAAGAACCAAGGAGATGAAGCCGGTGACTTTACCCCACAGGTCGAGGCACACATTAAACCCAGTCACCACGGTGGCTTAGGAAATGTTAACTACCTCGCCTGGCATGCAAGGAGGTCGTATCCCTATGTATCTCTGAGCATCTCTATGTGTGAGTCTGTGTATCGCTATACGTCTGTGGGGAGCGGTGAGTGTAGCGGTTAGCGTGCTGCGCTATGAACCTGGCGACCCGGGTTCGATTCCCGCTCACGGCCAACACCAGTGACGATTATCTGAACCGGTCCTGGGCCTCCCCTAGGTCGACTTAGCCTTAAATGAGTACCTGGTGCGGTGTGTAAACATCGCCACTGGGGAGACAAAGGCGGTCGGGCGTGGTGCTGGCCACCCACCCCCACGTGTACAGTTCCGGCCTTCATAGGTGTTCGCTAACGGCATTTGCCCCTACAGTCTGTTAAGGCTATATGGGGGATCTGTTATATGTCTGTGAGTCTCAATGGGTTTACAATACGGCCCATGGTTTCTGGATTGCATGGATACAATCGTAACATTCTGGCTTGTATAATGCAGGTTTACACCATTGGAACCTCATTTGCCAATTAGCAAAATATGATAATTGTTTTTTTACCCTTTTATCTGGCAACAAAACTGACACTTTTTTTTACAAGGAGTCATGTTTGCATTGACCACAATACCTGCAGTCGAAATGCAAGCAAAAAACACAACTCTGCATTTCGACTGCAGGTATTGTGGTCAATGCAAACATGATTCCTAGTAAAAAAAAAAGGTGTCAGTTTTGTTGCCAGATAAAAGGGTAAAAAAAAATTATTATAATGCAGGTTTGTTTTTGGGCTAGATCGCGTAAATATATAAATGTGTCGTTAAACCCGCCAACACCCAACACAGCCAATTAGTAAGGTTTGTCACGAAAAGAGAACGTGCCAAATCGTTACTAGCACAGCACACCGGTGTGTTGGAGAGCCAAGCCACAACATTTACAATCTGAGCACGACGTTTCGCCCGTAATTACAACTAGCTTCATCAGGTGACAGCCAGATGTGTGGCTTTCGCCTGATAAAGCTAGTTGTCACCTGTATTATGGATGATATTGGTCGCGAAAGCCTACGTGTTAAATTGTGGCTTATCTTTAACGTATCTTTATGGGTCACTGTGTGTCTCTATTGGTCTCTATGTATCTCTATGAGTCTCTCTGTTTCTCTATGCGTCTCTCCGAGTCTTTACAGGTCCCAATGCATCTCTGTAGGTCTCCCTGTGTCGCTAAATATCTCTATGGATCTCTCTGTGTCTCTATGCGTGGTCGAAAGACTTTAGTGTTCCAATGATCTTGAGAGCTAGGCTGTCTGGAGTTATGCTCCTGGTAGCGTTTTCCATGGTGGTAAGGTCGAGGGGGAGGCCCGAGACCAAGTACGATCCAAGATGTCTAAGTACTACCACCCCCACCCAGCAGGTGGAGGTGGGCTGCAGAGGTTTTGTGGCAACATCTACAACCAGACTGCTTAGAGACCTGGGAATTAAGGGCCAGAGCCAGCGTTCGGCAATCAGAGCGGTATCGGAGGCGGCAGAAGGCAGCAGTCAGTGGCTCTGGATGAAGAGGAAAGACCCCAGCTGGGCCCCGAAGTGAGAGGGCCCAGAGGTATGCAGTCAACAATGCTTGACTCAGGGAGGAGGACGCCCCTGGGAATGGGACACAAGCGTAGGATTGATCACCCTGTCGCTGGCCGCCTTTGGGGAGGGTGTATAGTATGAAAGGCCGAAACACCCTAGAACCCAAAGGTTCACTACTGACGATGCGCTCCCCAAATTTCACCAGGCTCACTGTTCATGAACTCTTGGAAGTGCTTTCACAAAGGATAGTAACATCTCATTCTGTGTTCTTTGGAATCCACCCCCACCCAGCAGGTGGGGCTCTATAGCTTCGTGCGGCAACTCACCTATGCATCTTTATGTGTCTGTGAGTTTCTATGGGTTTACAATACAGCCCATAGTTTCGGGATTGCATGGCTACAATTGTAACCATTATGGCTTGTCTTTAACATATCTCCGTGGGTCACTATGTGTGTGTCTCTATCGGTGTCTATGTATCTCAATGGGTCTTTCTGTGTCCCTATGTGTCTCTGGGTTTATGGTACATAGAATAAATATTGTGGTCACGTGTTCGCTACCTCTCAGCAGGCCACGTGGTGGTGGAGGCCACGAGGGAAGTGGACAAGAAGGTGGTAAGCGGTTCTTGAGTGGTGGGATTTGGAGTTGTGGTAGGCATTGTATTGGTAAGTGGTTCTTGAGTGGTGGGATTTGATGTTGTGGTAAGAACGGGAAAGTTGGTAAGCGGTTCTTGAGTGGTGGGATTTGGAGTTGTGGTAGGCATTGTATTGGTAAGCGGTTCTTGAGTGGTGGGATTTGATGTTGTGGTAAGAACGGGAAAGTTGGTAAGCGGTTCTTGAGTGGTGGGATTTGGAGTTGTGGTAGGCATTGTATTGGTAAGCGGTTCTTGAGTGGTGGGATTTGGAGTTGTGGTAAGCACGATATAGTTGGTAAGTGGTTCTTGAGTGGTGGGATTTGGAGTTGTGGTAGGCATTGTATTGGTAAGTGGTTCTTGAGTGGTGGGATTTGATGTTGTGGTAAGTCTGGTGTAGTTGGAAAGTGGTTTTTGAGTGGTGGGATTTGATGTTGTGGTAAGGATGGTGTAGTTGGTAAGTGATTCTTGAGTGGTGGGATTTGGAGTTGTGCTAAGAACGGTATAGTTGGTAAGTGATTCTTGAGTGCTCGGATTTGGAGTGGTGGTAAGAACGGTGTAGTTGGTAAGTGATTCTTGAGTGGTGGGATTTGGAGTGGTGGTAAGAACGGTATAGTTGGTAAGTGATTCTTGAGTGGTGGGATTTGGAGTGGTGGTAAGCACAGTATAGTTGGTAAGTGATTCTTGAGTGCTCGGATTTGGAGTGGTGGTAAGCACGGTGTAGTTGGTAAGTGATTCTTGAGTGGTGGGATTTGGAGTGGTGGTAAACACGGTGTAGTTGGTAAGTGATTCTTGAGTGCTCGGATTTGGAGTGGTCGTAAGAACGGTGTAGTTGGTAAGTGATTCTTGAGTGGTGGGATTTGGAGTGGTGGTAAACACGGTGTAGTTGGTAAGTGATTCTTGAGTGCTCGGATTTGGAGTGGTCGTAAGAACGGTGTAGTTGGTAAGTGATTCTTGAGTGGTGGGATTTGATGTTGTGGTAAGAACGGTGTAGTTGGTAAGTGATTCTTGAGTGCTCGGATTTGGAGTGGTGGTAAGAACGGTGTAGTTGGTAAGTGATTCTTGAGTGCTGGGATATGATGTTGTGCTAAGCACGGTGTAGTTGGTAAGTGATTTTTGAGTGGTGGGATTTGGAGTGGTGGTAAGAACAGTGTAGTTGGTAAGTGATTCTTGAGTGCTGGGATATGATGTTGTGCTAAGCACGGTGTAGTTGGTAAGTGATTCTTGAGTGGTGGGATTTGGAGTGGTGGTAAGAACTGTATAGTTGGTAAGTGGTTCTTTAGTGGTGGGATTTGGAGTGGTGGTAAGAACGGTGTAGTTGGTAAGTGATTCTTGAGTGCTCGGATTTGGAGTTGAGGTAAGGACGGTGTAGTTAGTAAGTGGTTCTTGAGTGATGGGATTTGGAGTGGTGGTAAGCACGGTGTAGTTGGTAAGTGATTCTTGAGTGGTGGGATTTGGAGTGGTGGTAAACACGGTGTAGTTGGTAAGTGATTCTTGAGTGCTCGGATTTGGAGTGGTCGTAAGAACGGTGTAGTTGGTAAGTGATTCTTGAGTGGTGGGATTTGATGTTGTGGTAAGAACGGTGTAGTTGGTAAGTGATTCTTGAGTGCTCGGATTTGGAGTGGTGGTAAGAACGGTATAGTTGGAAAGTGGTTCTTGAGTGGTGGGATTTGGAGTGGTTGTAAGAACGGTGTAGTTGGTAAGTGATTCTTGAGTGCTCGGATTTGGAGTTGTGGTAAGAACGGTGTAGTTGGTAAGTGATTCTTGAGTGCTGGGATATGATGTTGTGCTAAGCACGGTGTAGTTGGTAAGTGATTTTTGAGTGGTGGGATTTGGAGTGGTGGTAAGAACAGTGTAGTTGGTAAGTGATTCTTGAGTGCTGGGATATGATGTTGTGCTAAGCACGGTGTAGTTGGTAAGTGATTCTTGAGTGGTGGGATTTGGAGTGGTGGTAAGAACTGTATAGTTGGTAAGTGGTTCTTTAGTGGTGGGATTTGGAGTGGTGGTAAGAACGGTGTAGTTGGTAAGTGATTCTTGAGTGCTCGGATTTGGAGTTGAGGTAAGGATGGTGTAGTTAGTAAGTGGTTCTTGAGTGATGGGATTTGGAGTGGTGGTAAGAACGGTGTAGTTGGTAAGTGATTCTTGAGTGGTGGGATTTGGAGTTTCAAGAGGCACCGTGACAGTCAGTGGTTCCTGAGTGGTGTGAATTGTAGGTTCAGGAGTCAGAGCAGGTAGGGACGGGGCAATGGGAGCCAGCGGTAGCTTCAGAGGGAGAGTTTCTTTACCACTCTGCAACAACAATAACAACAACAATCAGTGGGCAAGCAATATCTTGAACCTGTCTTGTGACTCATTTAGGTAAACTCCATCATCGCACTGGTCAACACACTTTTTCTGGCATAAGGTATCCCAACGGTTTTAAGGTAATTTTGGGGTGCTGATTCCAAATCTGGCATCAGTTTTTGTCTATCACATCAGGTTATTGAGATATCAAATATTGCATTTTCAATAAAAACTGCAGAAGAAAAATATTAAATAAATGTGGATATTTACATAAAATGATTTTATAAACACACTATCCTAAAAATACAGCACCATATTTTAACACTAAAGCAGTCACTGACTCGCAACAACTTGCAATCATAAGTGACAGAGTTAATTTCGGGCAAAATCAATGAAAATGGGGTATGCCGATAGTATAATAAGTATAACCAGTAAAAACAAAGTTTTTCACTATAAATCCTTTATATGCGTGGCGGCTAGAGTCCTCTCGTCCTCTGGCTTGAGATGGCTGCCACCTATGGGTCAGATGATTGCATTGCACCAGTAAGCAATTGGTAATTAAATCTAATATTTTTGTCCTAAAAAGTGTACAATTTTGGAAAAAAAATTTCACGAACATTAATTGTCACACACAACGAGTCTGTGTGGAAAATGACAGCTCGATTGGATCACAGGAAGTCGGTTAAAAAACGACCGAAAGATTTACACGGTCCTAAGCAAGCAAGCGAACTTAATATAAAGGATTTAAAAATTAGATGTGATAGAGCAAATCTGAGATCAGATTTGGAATCAGCGCCCTGAAATTAGTCTAAAACAGCTGCAAAGGTCCAGGCCAGATTTTTTTTTGACCAGTGTCATCATCATGAGCCACTTGCAGATTGCTTTTTCACCTCCAAAATTGGCACAATCCAAAATGCAGAATAAACCTAAACCCTGGGTCCTCCTGGCCACAATTCTCCCCTCCTCATGGGACATTTTGCTATATCATGGGACATTTTTTTGCCAGTTTCAAAATGTAAAAAATAAGAATAGGGTAAAACCTCTTCTTGGTTCTTTCGGTAAAGTCACGTAGAATGGAAATAATAAAATAATAAAAATAAAACATAAAACGTAATTATGTTTTATTTTTATTATCTATCTGGTGTTTGAACATAAAACATAATTATGTTTTATTTTTATTATTTTATTATTTCCATTCTACGTGACTTTACCAAAAGAACCAAGAAGATGAATCCCTGCAGTCATGAAAGCTTTAAATCGAAGGGTAAAACCTATTCTTATTTTTCATAATTCGATACTAGGGGAAATGTCTCGTGATATCGCTGCTCATCACAAACTATAAATGCTCTGATGCGTGCATTGTCTTTGTGCTTCGATTTAAAGCTTTCGTGACTGCAGGGATTCATCTTCTTGGTTTTTTCGGTAAAGTCACGTAGAAGGGAAGTAATAAAATAATAAAAATAAAACATAATAAAATAATTCTCACGACGTTTCGGCTACAACGCAAGCAGCCGTCTTCAGGTGAAGAATGAGACACTGCCAAGCTAGGAGCTTATATATAAGCTGGGTTGGAGGTGGAAGAAGAGCGCACATTCTTTTGTTAAGGCGCTCTTCTGCCACCTCCAACCCAGCTTATATATAAGCTCCTAGCTTGGCAGTGTCTCATTCTTCACCTGAAGACGGCTGCTTGCGTTGTAGCCGAAACGTCGTGAGAATTATTTTATTATGTTTTATTTTTATTATTTTATTACTTCCCTTCTACGTGACTTTACCGAAAAAACTAAGAAGATGTCTTTGTGCTGTTCACCTTTTGCCGTTGTTCTGTGGTCTACTAACACTGCTGGTAGTAGTCCATACGGAAGGCTGTCTCTGGTTTAGGGCAATCAGTTTCAAAGACAATGCTGCATATTCATTATCAGAGTGTGTTTGTCTGCATATTCACCACAAGTATGTGTGGTTAATGTCAACTTGAACAGTCACGAAAACTTCAGATCTAGATTAATGTAGACTTGATTACTTTAAAAAGGTATCGATATAAGAAGAGGGTAAAACCGATTCTTTTCATACTTTGATACTGGCAAAAGGTCCCATGATGTAGCTGCTCACCGCAAGCTATAAATGGTCTGATGCATGTATTGTATTTGTACTTGGGGCCTTGTGGCAATGTTCTCTGGTCTACTAACACTAGTAGTGGGACTAGGCTATAAAGTAGGAAAAACAGTTTCAAAGACAATGCTGCATATATGATCAGAGTGTGTTTGTTTGCATGTTTAGCACAAGTAAGTGTGTTTAATTCAGACTTGATTACTTGAAAAAGGTATCTATCTGGCGTTTGAACATCTTAACTCCTGTTTTATTGCCAGAAGGGCTAAAATATATTCTTACAAGTCATACGTTTTGTGACTGGCAATAAGGTCCCTATGATAGATGGAGATTAATTCTAGATTTGAAGCTTTCGTGACTGCAAGGATTCATATTCTTAGTTTTTTCGGTAAAGTCACGTGGGTAAAAATTTTAAATTAATAAAAGTAAAATAAAAATAAAATAAAAATCACGACGTTTCGGAGGCAACACAAGCTTACGTCTTCAGGTGGAACCGTCACAGCACGATTGTTGTTTCAAGTGAGAGAAATTCCAAGAAAACAGTCCTTGTATATCTATACTGGTTGAGGGTGGGAGAAGCCAAGGTAGGCCCTGGATATTATTATTGTGAGGTTCGGTGCGGCTGAAGCACGCTGTTAGGAATGAGCCTTTGTTGTGTAAATTGGTTGAACTCGGAGATTCCAAGAGTTCATCTTCTTAGTTCTTTCGGTAAAGTCACGTAGAAGGGAAGTAATAAAATAATAAAAATAAAACATAATAAAATAATTCTCACGACGTTTCGGCCACAACGCATTGGCCGAAACGTCGTGAGAATTATTTTATTATGTTTTATTTTTATTATTTTATTACTTCCCTTCTACGTGACTTTACCGAAAGAACCAAGCAGATGAATCCCTGCAGTCACGAAAGCTTTAAATCGAAAGAACCTACGTGTTAAACGAACAAAAGCTCATCGCTCAGTTGACCTTTCAACTGGTAAATAATGAAATCGTTGCAACTTAATGTGGTCAATCACAGTCCAGCGTTAACAATCTCCCCCCCCCCACCCCGATTCCTAACGAGCATTGACACTCGCCGCACCTTATCGGGTTTGATGGGGCCTCCGGGTTCTACGGCTTGCTGCTCCTTATTGGCCCTCCCAGCCGGGATCTTCTTGTGTGGAGGAGCTTGATCACCTTGTTGGCCCTTCTCCACATTCTCCTCCAAAGGTGAGGCCTGGGTAGGGGCCTGAGCAAGCTCCACGGAGTGGCTCTCTGCGGGGGATACCTCTGAGTAGTCGTAGTCTGGGCAGAAGGACAGCAAGTGGGGGTGAAGGCGTGCATGTGTGTACAGATGCCGCTGCATTGTACATAGACTCAACATTGAACCATAGACTCAATACAGCACCATAGACTCAACACTGCCCATAGACTCAACACTGCCCATAGACTCAACACTGCACCATAGACACCACACTACACCATAGACTCAACACCTCACATATACCAAAAACTGCACCATAGACTCAACACTGCATCATAGACTCAACACCTCACATATACCTAAAACTGCACCATAGACTCAACACTGCACCATAGACTTAACACTGCACCACAGACTCAACACTACACCATAGACTCAACACTGCACTATAGACTCAACACTGCACCATAGACTCAACGCCACCCATAGACTCAACATTGCACCATAGACTGAACACTGCACCATAGACTCAACACTGCACCATAGACTCAACACTGCACCATAAACACCACACTACACCATAGACTCAACACCTCAAATAGACTCAACACCTCACATAGACTCAACACTGCACCATAGACTCAACATTGCACCATAGACTCAACACTGTCCATAGACTCAACACCGCCCATAGACTCAACATTGCACCATAGACATCACACTACATCATAGACTCAACACCTCACATATACTCAACACCTCACATAGACTCAACACTGCACCATAGACTCAACACTGTACCACAGACTCAACACTGCTCCATAGACTCAACACTGCCACCCATAGATAGGCGTCGGCAAGGTAAGGTAAAAGTTAAAAGGTAAAAACAACAGGCCTACCTTTACCCTACCTTTTACCTTACCACAATACAATCACTCTACCCTTACCTTTTACCCTTTAGACTCAACACTGCCCCCCATCGACTCAACACTGCCACCCATCGACTCAACACTGCCCATAGACTCAACACTGCCACCCATCGACTCAACACTGCCCATAGACTCAACACTGCCCATAGACGCAACACTGCCACCCATCGACTCAACACTGCCCATAAACTCAACACTGCCCATAGACTCAACACTACCCCCCATCAACTCAACACTGCCCATAGACTCAACACTGCCCCCCATCAACTCAACACTGCCCATAGACTCAACACTGCCCATAGACTCAACACTGCCACCCATAGACTCAACACTGCCACCCATCGACTCAACACTGCCCCCCATAGACTCAACACTGCCCCCATAGACTCAACACTGCCCCCCATCAACTCAACACTGCCCATAGACTCAACACTGCCCATAGACTCAACACTGCCCCCCATCGACTCAACACTGCACCACAGACTCAACACTGCCACCCATCGACTCAACACTGCCACCCATCGACTCAACACTGCCACCCATCGACTCAACACTGCCACCCATCAACTCAACACTGCCCATCGACTCAACACTGCCATCCATCAACTCAACACTGCACCACAGACTCAACACTGCCACCCATCAACTCAACACTGCCACCCATCGACTCAACACTGCCACCCATCGACTCAACACTGCCACCCATCGACTCAACACTGCCACCCATCGACTCAACACTGCCACCCATCAACTCAACACTGCCACCCATCGACTCAACACTGCCACCCATCGACTCAACACTGTCACCCATCGACTCAACACTGCACCCCATAGACTCAACACTGCCCCCCATAGACTCAACAATGCCACCCATAGACTCAACACTGCCACCCATCGACTCAACACTGCCCCCCATAGACTCAACACTGCCCCCCATAGACTCAACACTGCCACCCATAGACTCAACACTGCCACCCATAGACTCAACACTGCCCCCCATAGACTCAACACTGCCCCCCATCGACTCAACACTGTCACCCATCAACTCAACACTGCCACCCATAGACTCAACACTGCCACCCTATAGACTCAACACTGCCACCCATCGACTCAACACTGCCACCCATCGACTCAACACTGCCCCCCATCGACTCAACACTGCCACCCATCGACTCAACACTGCCACCCACAGACTCAACACTGCCACCCATAGACTCAGCACTGTCACCCACAGACTCAACACTGCCACCCATAGACTCAACACTGCCCATAAACTCAACACTGCACCATCGACTCAACACTGCCACCCATCGACTCAACACCTCACATATACTCAACACTCAACCATAGACTCAACACTACCCACAGACTCAACACTGCACCATAGACTCAACACTGCCCCCCATCGACTCAACACTGCCACCCATCGACTCAACACTGCCCATAGACTCAACACTGCCACCACCCACAGACTCAACACTGCCACCCATCGACTCAACACTGCCACCAATCGACTCAACACTGCCACCCATCGACTCAACACTGCCACCCATCGACTCAACACTGCCCCCCATAGACTCGACACTGCCCCCCATAGACTCAACACTGCCACCCATCGACTCAACACTGCCCATAGACTCAACACTGCCACCCACAGACTCAACACTGCCACCCACAGACTCAACACTGCCACCCATCGACTCAACACTGCCACCCATCGACTCAACACTGCCACCCATCGACTCAACACTGCCCCCCATAGACTCAACACTGCCCCCCATAGACTCAACACTGCCACCCATCGACTCAACACTGCCCCATCGACTCAACACTGTCACCCATTGACTCAACACCTCACATATACTCAACACTCAACCATAGACTCAACACTACCCACAGACTCAACACTGCACCATAGACTCAACACTGCCCCCCATAGACTCAACACTGCCACCCATCGACTCAACACTGCCCATAGACTCAACACTGCCACCCACAGACTCAACACTGCCACCCATCAAATCAACACTGCCACCCATCGACTCAACACTGCCACCCATCGACTCAACACTACCACCCATAGACTCAACACTGCCACCCATCGACTCAACACTGCAACCCTTCGACTCAACACTGCCCCCCATAGACTCAACACTGCCCCCCATAGACTCAACACTGCCACCCACAGACTCAACACTGCCACCCACAGACTCAACACTGCCACCCATCGACTCAACACTGCCACCCATCGACTCAACACTGCCACCCATCGACTCAACACTGCCCCCCATAGACTCAACACTGCCCCCCATAGACTCAACACTGCCACCCATCGACTCAACACTGCCCCATCGACTCAACACTGTCACCCATCGACTCAACACTGCACCATCGACTCAACACTGCCACCCATCAACTCAACACTGCCACCCATCGACTCAACACTGCCACCCATCGACTCAACACTGCCCCCCATAGACTCAACACTGCCCCATCGACTCAACACTGCCACCCATCAACTCAACACTGCCACCCATCGACTCAACACTGCCACCCATCGACTCAACACTACCACCCATAGACTCAACACTGCCCCCCATAGACTCAACACTGCCACCCATCGACTCAACACTGCCACCCATCGACTCAACACTGCCACCCATCGACTCAACACTGCCACCCATCAACTCAACACTGCCACCCATCGACTCAACACTGCCACCCATCGACTCAACACTGTCACCCATCGACTCAACACTGCACCCCATAGACTCAACACTGCCCCCCATAGACTCAACAATGCCACCCATAGACTCAACACTGCCACCCATCGACTCAACACTGCCCCCCATAGACTCAACACTGCCCCCCATAGACTCAACACTTCCACCCATAGACTCAACACTGCCACCCATAGACTCAACACTGCCCCCCATAGACTCAACACTGCCCCCCATCGACTCAACACTGTCACCCATCAACTCAACACTGCCACCCATAGACTCAACACTGCCACCCATAGACTCAACACTGCCACCCATCGACTCAACACTGCCACCCATCGACTCAACACTGCCCCCCATCGACTCAACACTGCCACCCATCGACTCAACACTGCCACCCACAGACTCAACACTGCCACCCATAGACTCAGCACTGTCACCCACAGACTCAACACTGCCACCCATAGACTCAACACTGCCCATAAACTCAACACTGCACCATCGACTCAACACTGCCACCCATCGACTCAACACCTCACATATACTCAACACTCAACCATAGACTCAACACTACCCACAGACTCAACACTGCACCATAGACTCAACACTGCCCCCCATCGACTCAACACTGCCACCCATCGACTTAACACTGCCCATAGACTCAACACTGCCACCCACAGACTCAACACTGCCACCCATCGACTCAACACTGCCACCAATCGACTCAACACTGCCACCCATCGACTCAACACTGCCACCCATCGACTCAACACTGCCCCCCATAGACTCGACACTGCCCCCCATAGACTCAACACTGCCACCCATCGACTCAACACTGCCCATAGACTCAACACTGCCACCCACAGACTCAACACTGCCACCCACAGACTCAACACTGCCACCCATCGACTCAACACTGCCACCCATCGACTCAACACTGCCACCCATCGACTCAACACTGCCCCCCATAGACTCAACACTGCCCCCCATAGACTCAACACTGCCACCCATCGACTCAACACTGCCCCATCGACTCAACACTGTCACCCATCGACTCAACACCTCACATATACTCAACACTCAACCATAGACTCAACACTACCCACAGACTCAACACTGCACCATAGACTCAACACTGCCCCCCATAGACTCAACACTGCCACCCATCGACTCAACACTGCCCATAGACTCAACACTGCCACCCACAGACTCAACACTGCCACCCATCAAATCAACACTGCCACCCATCGACTCAACACTGCCACCCATCGACTCAACACTACCACCCATAGACTCAACACTGCCACCCATCGACTCAACACTGCAACCCATCGACTCAACACTGCCCCCCATAGACTCAACACTGCCCCCCATAGACTCAACACTGCCACCCACAGACTCAACACTGCCACCCACAGACTCAACACTGCCACCCATCGACTCAACACTGCCACCCATCGACTCAACACTGCCACCCATCGACTCAACACTGCCCCCCATAGACTCAACACTGCCCCATCGACTCAACACTGCCCCCCATAGACTCAACACTGCCACCCATCGACTCAACACTGCCCCATCGACTCAACACTGTCACCCATCGACTCAACACTGCACCATCGACTCAACACTGCCACCCATCAACTCAACACTGCCACCCATCGACTCAACACTGCCACCCATCGACTCAACACTGCCCCCCATAGACTCAACACTGCCCCATCGACTCAACACTGCCACCCATCAACTCAACACTGCCACCCATCGACTCAACACTGCCACCCATCGACTCAACACTACCACCCATAGACTCAACACTGCCCCCCATAGACTCAACACTGCCACCCATCGACTCAACACTGCCCCATCGACTCAACACTGTCACCCATCGACTCAACACTGCCCCATCGACTCAACACTGCCACCCATAGACTCAACACTGCCACCCATCGACTCAACACTGCCACCCATCGACTCAACACCGCCAATAGACTCAACACTGCCACCCATCGACTCAACACCACCCATCGACTCAACACTGCCCCCCATAGACTCAACACTGCCCATCGACTCAACACCGCCCATAGACTCAACACTGCCCATATACTCAACACTACACCATAGACTCAACACTACTCCATAGACTCAACACTGCCCATAGACTCAACACTGCCCCCCATAGACTCAACACTGCCCCCCATAGACTCAACACCGCCCATAGACTCAACACTGCACCATAGACTCCACACTACACCATAGACTCAACACTGCACCATAGACTCAACACTGCACCATAGACTCAACACTGCACCATAGACTCAACACTACTCCATAGACTCAACACTTCTCCATAGACTCAACACTGCACATAGACTCAACACTGCCCATAGACTCAACACTGCACCATAGACTCCACACTACCCATAGACTCAACACTACCCATAGACTCAACACTACCCATCGACTCAACACTGCCCATCGACTCAACACTGCCCCCCATAGACTCAACACTGCCCATAGACTCAACACTGCCTATATACTCCACCCATCGACTCAACACTGCCCATAGACTCAACACTGCCACCCATAGACTCAACACTGCCCATCGACTCAACACTGCCTATATACTCCACCCATTGACTCAACACTGCCAACCATAGACTCAACACTGCCACCCATAGACTCAACACTGCCCATAGACTCAACACTGCCTATATACTCCACCCATCGACTCAACATTGCCCATAGACTCAACACTGCCACCCATAGACTCAACACTGCCCATAGACTCAACACTACCCATAGACTCAACACCTCACATAGACTCAACACTGCCCATAGACTCAACACTGCCCATCGACTCAACACTACCCATATACTCAACACTACCCATAGACGCAACACTGCCACCCCTTCCTCACCATCCTCCGGCGTCGTATCGATGCAGAACTCTGCGTGGTCCGGGCAGCACTCCCCGAACTCTACGCAGGTCGAGTCGCAGTGGCACCGCCGGCCCCGGCGGAACGGCTCCTCGCAGCGGCCTCGGCACGACGACTCTGCGGTCAGCGCCCCCCCCCCACCAAGCACACAACATCGTTCAAACGTCTCCCCCCCGTGTAGCCTCTAGCAGGGCTGTAGGGGCAAGTGCTGTTAGTAGCTAGGAGCAGCAGCGCCTATACTATAGGCAGCTAGGAGCAGCAGCGCCTATACTATAGGCACTGCTGCTCCTAGCTTCTAACAGCACTTGCCCCAACAGCTCTGCTAGAGGCTACACGGGGGGTCTTTGTCTGTGTATATAGGCCCTATACACAGACAAAGATCCCCCGTGTAGCCTCTAGCAGGGCTGCAGGGGCAAGTGCTGTTAGTAGCGCCTATACACAGATAAAGATCCCCCGTGCAGCCTCTAGCAGACTGTAGGGGCAAGTGTTGTTAGTAGCGCCTATACACAGACAAAGATCCCCCGTGTAGCCTCTGGCAGGGCTGCAGGGGCAAGTGTTGTTAGTAGCGCCTATACACAGACAAAGATCCCCCGTGTAGCCTCTAACAGGGCTGTAGGGGCAAGTGCTGTTAGTGGTGAGTAGCAGCAGCGCCTATACACAGACAAAGATCCCCCGTATAGCCTCTAACAGGGCAGTAGGGGCAAGTGCTGTTAGTAGCGCCTATACACAGACAAAGATCCCCCGTGTAGCCTCTAGCAGGGCTGTAGGGGCAAGTGTTGATAGTAGCGAGTAGCAGCAGCGCCTATACACAGACAAAGATCCCCCGTGTAGCCTCTAGCAGGGCTGTAGGGGCAAGTGCTGTTAGTAGCGAGTAGCAGCAGCGCCTATACACAGACAAAGATCCCCCGTGTAGCCTCTAACAGACTGTGGGGGGCAAATGCTGTAAGGGGCCGTCCATAAATGACGTCACGCGATTTTGGACGATTTTTGACCCCCCCCCCCTCCCTTCGTCACACGGCGTCACAAAAAGTGAGACCCCCCTCAAATATGACGTCACAAAGCTCTGCCCCCCCCCCAAAGCAAATAAAACATGCTTCAAATCGCTTTAAACTATTGTCATTGTAGTGCGTATTTAATGTGGCGCTGCACTCTGATGTTGTAGGATAAAATATTTATTAAAAAATCTATTTAATTAAGTAGAACGTGTTGTCTAAATTGATTTCAAGTTGCGCATTTTGATGTGACGTCACATTTCTCAAACCCCCCCCCCCCCCCAATCGTCACACATCGTCACAAATGTCTGCCCCCCCCCCCCCCCGCTAGGTGCGTGACGTCATTTATGGACGGTCCCTTAGCGCTGCTACCACCCCCGTCCCCCCATAAATGATGGCGATGATGATGATGATGGTGGTAGTGATGATGATGGTGGTGGTGGTAGTGATAGTGATGGTGGTAGTGATGATGATTATGGTGGTAGTGATGATGATTATGGTGGTAGTGATGATGATGGTGGTGGTAGTGATGATGATGGTGGTGGTGATGATGATGATGATGGTGGTAGTGATGATGGTGGTGGTAGTGATGATGGTGGTAGTGATGATGATGGTGGTAGTGATGATGATTATGGTGGTAGTGATGATGATGGTGGTAGTGATGATGGTGGTGGTAGTGATGATGATGATGGTGGTGGTAGTGATGATGATGATGGTGGTGATGATGGTGGTGGTAGTGATGATGATGGTGGTAGTGATGATGATGGTGGTGGTGGTGATGATGATGGTGGTAGTGATGATGGTGGTGGTAGTGATGGTGGTGGTGGTAGTAGTGATTATGATGGTGGTGGTGGTAGTGATGATGATGGTGGTAGTGATGATGATTATGGTGGTAGTGATGATGATGGTGGTAGTGATGATGGTGGTGGTAGTGATGATGATGATGGTGCTACTGTAGTGATGATGATGGTGGTAGTGATGATGATGGTGGTGGTAGTGATGATGATGGTGGTAGTGATGATGATGGTGGTAGTGATGATGATGGTGGTGGTAGTGATGATGATGATGGTAATGATGATGATGGTAATGATGATGATGGTGCTGGTGATGATGATGATGATGATGCTGACGATGATGACGATGGTGCTGATTATGATGGTGATGATGGTGCTGATGATGATGGTGATGATGATGATGGTGATGATGATGGTGATGATGACGATGTTGCTGATGATGATGGTGCTGATGATGGTGCTGATGATGACGATGGTTGATGATGATGGTGCTGATGATGATGACGATGATGATGACGATGGTGATGATGATGACGACGGTTGATGACGATGTTGATGACGATGATGATGATGACGATGATGATGGCGATGGCGATGATGATGACGACGGTTGATGACGATGTTGATGACGACGGTTGATGACGATGATGATGATGATGGCGATGACGACGGATGATGACGATGTTAATGATGACGGTTGATGACGATGATGATGACAATGATGATAACGATGATGACGGTGGTGCTGATGATGACGGTAATGACGATGATGACGATGACGACGATGATGATGGTGATGATGATGACGATGGCGATGACGATCTTGATGACGACGACGACGATGATGATGACGATGTTGATGGCAATGATGACAGTGGTGCTGATGACGACGATGATGATGGTGATGACGATGATGATGACGATGACGACGACGACGATGATGATGACGACGACGACGCCGTGTCTCTCTGTCACCCTTGGTGCAGACGCTCCTGAAGTCGCGGCAGCACTGCTTGAACTTGGTGCAGTCGAAGTCGCAGGAGCACGTGGCGCCTCTCACGAACGACTCCCCGCAGCGGCCCACGCACGACCCTCGTGGGGAGAGAGGCAAAGACAAAGATCACCCGTGTAGCCTTCGCAGGCTGCTGGGGGCAAGTGCTGTTGGGGCAGAAGCAGCATCTGGCCACCCCCCCCCCTCCACCATCACCCGATGATGGTGGTGGTAGGGTTGGTGATGGTGATGGAGGTGATGATGGTGGTGATGTTGTTGGTGAGGATGGTGGTGTTGATGGTGATGATGGTGGTGATGGTTATGATGATGGTGGTGGTGATGGTGGTGATGTTGTTGGTTATGATGGTGGTGTTGATGGTGATTATGATGATGGTGGTGACGGTGATGGTTGTGGTAATGGTGGTGATAGGGTTAGTGATGGTGGCGGAGGTGATGATGGTGGTTGTGGTGATGATGGTGATGATTGTGGTGATGATGGTGATGGTGCTGATGATGGTGATGGTGGTGATGATGGTGGTGATGGTGGTGATGGTGGTGATGGTGGTGATGGTGGTGATGGTGGTGATGGTGATGATGATGGTGGTGATGATTGTGATGGTGGTGATGGTGGTGATGATGATGGTGATGGTGGTGATGGTGGTGATGATGATGATGGTGGTGGTGATGGTGGTGGTGATGATAGTGATGATGGTGGAGGTGATGGTGGTGATGATGGTGGTGGTGATGATGGTGATGATGATGGTGGTGGTGCTGATGATGGTGGTGATGGTGGTGATGATAATGGTGGTGATGATGGTGGTGATGGTGATGATGATGGTGGTGGTGATGGTGGTGATGATGGTGGTGGTGATGATGGTTGTGGTGATGATGATGATGGTGATGATGGTGATGATGATGATGGTGGTGGTGGTGATGATGGTGGTGGTGGTGGTGATGATGGTGATGATGATGGTGGTGATGATGGTGATGGTGGTGATGATGATGACGGTGGTGGGTGGTGATGATGGTGGTGGTGGTGGTGATGGTGGTGAAAGACTCACTGTCTCCTCGTCTTAATGAGGTGGTGGTTTGTAGAAGCAGCAGCGTTGTCATTGCGAACAGCAACACCGAGATCCCTCCCAGAAACATCCTGACAGAAAAAGAGTCCACCAACTCACTCACCCACTCACCCACTCACCCACTCACTCACTCACTCACCCACTCGCCCACTCACTCACCCACGCACTCACTAACCCACTCAGTCACTCACCCACCCACTCACTCACTCTCACTCACTCAGTCACTCACCCACGCACTCACTCACTCACTCACCCACTCAGTCACTCACCCACTCAGTCACTCACCCACTCACTCACCCACTCACCCACTCAGTCACTCACCCACTCACTCACTCACCCACTCACTCACTCACTCACCCACTCACTCACTCACCCACTCAGTCACTCACCCACTCACTCACTCACCCACCCACTCACTCACTCACTCACTCACCCACTCACTCACTCACCCACGCACTCACTAACCCACTCAGTCACTCACCCACCCACTCACTCACTCTCACTCACTCACCCACCCACCCACTCACCCACCCACCCACCCACTCACTCATTCACCCACTCACTCACCCACTCAGTCACTCACCCACTCACCCACTCACTCACCCACCCACTCACCCACCCACCCACCCACTCACTCACTCATTCACCTACTCACTCACACTCACCCATTCAGTCACTCACCCACTCACCCACCCACTCACCCACTCACTCACCCTCTCACTCACCCACTCACCCACTCACTCACCCACTCACTTACCCACTTACTCACCGACTCACCCACTCACCCACTCACGCAGCCACTTACCGACACTTTCAACCACTCACTCAGTCACCCACTCAGTCACTCACTCACCCACTCACCCACCCACTCACCCACTCACTCACTCACCCACTCACTCACTCACCCACTCAATCACTCACTCACTTACTCACCCACTTACTCACCCACTTTCTCACCCACCCGCTCAACCACTCACTCACCCACTCGCTCACCCACTTACTCACCCACTCACCCACCCACTCACGCAGCCACTCAGTCACCCACTCACCCACAAACTCACTCACCCACTCACCCACCCACTCACTCACCCACTCACCCATTCACTCATTCACTCACCCACTCACCCACGCACTCACCCACTTACTCACCCACTCACCCACTTACCCACTCACCTACCCACTCACTCACCCACACCTTCACCCACTCAGTCACCTACCCATTCACCCACCAACCCACCCATTCACTCACCCACTCACTCACCCACTCACCAACCAACTCACACACTAACTCGCCCATTCACCTACCAAATCACCCACTCAGTCACCCACTCACTAATCCACCCACCCACTCGCCTACTCATTAACCCACTCACTCACCCATTCACTCACCTACTCACTCACCTGCGCACTCACTCAACCACTCACTAACCCATTCACCCACCCACCAACTCACCCACTCACTCAATCACGCACTCAATCACGCACTCACTTACCCACTCACTCACCGATTCAACAAATCACTCATTAAAACACTCACTCACCCATCCATTCACCCACCCAGTCATCCACTCACCCACACACTCACTCACCCACTCACTCATTCACCGACTCACTCACCCACGAACTGACTCACTCACCCATCCACTCACTCACCAACTCACTCACCCATCCACTCACTCACCCATTCACTCACCGATTCAACAAATCACTCAAGAACACACTCACTCACTCACCCATTCACCCCCCAGTCACCCACTCACTCACTCACCCACTCACTCATTCACCTACTCACTCACCCATTGACTCACTCACCCATCCACTCACTCACCCACTCACTCACCAATTCACCCCACAGTCACCTACTCACTCACTAACCCACTCACCCACTCACGCACTTACTCACCCACTCATTCACCCACTCACTCACCCACTCACTTACTCACACACTCACTCACTCACTCACACACTCACCCAATCACTCACACACTCACGCACTCACTCACTCACCCACTCACACACTCACCCACTCACTCACCCACTCACTCACCCACTCACTCACTCACCCACTCACCCACTGTACTTACCTAGTACTCTCTCTGTACTCTCTCTCTGTACTCTGCACTACTTCTCTACTTACTCTGTGCGCTGCTGCCTTGCTCGCTCCACACGATGACCCAAATCGACCTCTCAGAGCTCGATTCTAACTCAGCCCCTGCTCACTCTTACACCGCCTTATACACCACGCACTCCACCTCGTCACTCCCCCCCCCCTCCTCCCCCTCGCCCCCCCCTCGCCCCTCCTCCCCCTCTTCCTTCTCGCCCCTCCCCCCTCCCCCCCTCCTCCCACTCCTCCTGATCACCCCACCCCTCCTCCTCAGTGGGTGAGTGGGTGGGTGAGTGGGTGAGTCAGTTGGTGATTGAGTGGGTGAGTGAGTGGGTGGGTGAGGGGGTGAGTGAGTTGGTGATTGAGTGGGTGAGTGGGTGGGTGAGTGAGTAGGTGATTGAGTGGGTGAGTGAGTGAGTGAGTGGGTGAGTGGGTGGGTGAGTGAGTGGGTGAGTGAGTGAGTGAGTGAGTGGGTGATTGAGTGGGTGGGTGAGTGAGTGGGTGAGTGGGTGGTGGGTGGGTGGGTGAGTGGGTGAGTGGGTAGGTGAGTGGGTGAGTGGGTGATTGGGTGAGTGGATAGGTGTGTGAGTGAGTGGGTGAGTGAGTGGGTGAGTGAATAATTGGGTGAGTGAGTGGGTGGGTGACTGTGTGAGTGGGTGAGTGAGTGGGTAAGTGAGTGGGTGATTGAGTGGGTGAGTGAGTGGGTGAGTGGGTGAGTGAATGAGTGGGTGAGTGAGTGGGTGGGTGACTGTGTGAGTGGGTGAGTGAGTGGGTGAGTGAATGAGTGGGTGAGTGGGTGAGTGAGTAGGTGAGTGAATGAGTGGGTGAGTGAATGAGTGGGTGGGTGACTGTGTGAGTGGGTGGGTGATTGAGTGGGTGAGTGAGTGGGTGAGTGGGTGGATGAGTGGGTGGGTGAGTGAGTGGGTGAGTTAGTGGGTGAGTGAATGAGTGGGTGAGTGAGTGGGTGGGTGACTGTGTGAGTGGGTGAGTGAGTGGGCGAGTAAGTGCTTGAGTAGGTGGGCGATTTGCTCTCACGCTGCGCACGAACCCGACCACCCGAGTTCGACTCCTGCTCACATCCACCAACTCCAAATATCTGAACCGGTCCTGCGACTCCCCTAGGTCAACTCAGTCTCAAACGAGTACCTGGTGTACTCGGTAAACATCGCCAATGGGGGAGACAAAGGCGGTCAGCCAGTGTGACAGCACTTGCCCCCACAGTCTATTAGAGGCTACCGGGGGAATCTTTGTCTGTGTATAGGTGCTGCTGCTACTCACTCCTAACAGCACTTGCCCCAAGAGTCTGTTAGAGGCTACCGGGGGAATCTTTGTCTGTGTATAGGTGCTGTTGACACTTGCTACGAACAGCACTTGCCCCAACATTCGGTAGAGGCTACCCGGGGGATCTTTGTATTTGTCCGTTCTCCCCTCTGTTCTGTGCCGGCTTTGACCGGGATGCGCCCTGCTTTGTTCACAGTGTAACCAGCCTCGACACCTGCTTAGCTTGGCTCGGATGAGGACCCATTGGTCGATGGGAAACCCGGACTCAGGATGCGCTGATGATCAAGATTGGCCGCGCATTCCACAATCGGCCCCATTCACGCACCCACTAACACACTAACAACAACAACTACAAGCGCCATTCGCTACTAAGTGGCGGTGACGTCACCACGACGCTTGTGCCAGGCCATGTGCACCTTGAGGCTACCACGTGAAGTGTCGAACGCCCGCTGGCAGGAGGTCACGGGGCAGACCCAGCAGGTGCCACGGGTCGACTGACCGCGATGACCGAGATGACTGGCTGATGCACCACCTGTGCCCCCTACTGTGCCAACTTGCTGTGCTTTAGCCACCCGGCGCTCCGCTCGTTGATGTGAGCGTCGCTCCTCCGCCCTCAGTTGTTGTTGGAGGGCGACTGCCTCCAACTGCCCAGTAGCGTCCTTCACGAGCCTCCTCCACAGAGGCCGATCTTGACACCACTGGTAACAGTCATCGGCAAGTCCACTCAGCTCCACATCCTCCTGTACCACGTCATTCCATCTCCTCTCTAGCCCGTGCCGCGCCCATTTAGCCCCCTCGATCCGGCCGAGCAAAAGCTGTTTAGGCATGCGGTGATTGGGAATGCGGGCTACATGACCCAGCCAACGCAGCCTTGCCTGCGGGAGGTGCTCACCGATGGGACTTTGTCCGGATCTTTCGAGGATTTGTTAGCTCCTCACACAACCAGCCTGGTTAAACCCAGGATTGATCGTAGGCAGGCCAGCCTAAATGTTTCTAACCGGCGAAGATGTTCCATTAGGGGGGTCCACGTCTCGCAAGCGTAGAGAAGGGAGGGAATGACTGTGGCCGAGAAGACCTGAAGCTTCGTGCGGAGCGACAAACCAGGTAGCTTCCACACAGCAGCGTTACGCAACCGATGAAAAGATATTGCCGCTCGACTGATTCGAAGTGAGACCTCTGCTGTTAAACTGGAGCCGGTCATGAGCACACTGCCCAGGTATGTGGGCAAAACTCTCCACTCTGCCTGTCGCAAGCGCGTCAACGCAGCGCGCGGAAGAAGAGCTTCCTCTCTAAGATGTCTTGTGGTTGTTGTTGTTTACACTATGAGATCTCTTTTACCAGTGGCAAAATATAGTAGTAGGTTTTTACCCTTTTAAACTGGTACAAAACTGACACCTTTATTCAAGGCATCATGTTTGCAATGACCACAACACATGTAAATTTCGATTTAAAGCTTTCGTGACTGCAGGGATTCATCTTCTTGGTTCTTTCGGTAAAGTCACGTAGAAGGGAAGTAATAAAATAATAAAAATAAAACATAATAAAACAATTCTCACGACGTTTCGGCCACAACGCAAGCAGCTGTCCTCAGGTGAAAACCAGGTCCGTCGAGGCGACAGAGTCTGAATGAAACAGCACACGAGCTTGGAGCATATATATAAGCTGGGCGCATTGACAAAGGAATTTGCATATCAAAAGGAATTTAGCATATTTATGGGAAATGCAGGAATGTGATTAGTACTGCATATGCATGTGCATTATGCAGGATTAACAGCATCAAAGGGAGCTGCAGTTACTGCTGCTGCAGCAGTTGCTGCTGCTGCTGCTGCAGTTTCTGCTGCTGCTGCAGTTGCTGCTGCTGCTGCTGCAATTGCAGCAGCAGCAACTGCAGCAGCAGCAGCAACTGCAGCAGCAGCAGCAACTGCAGCAGCAGCAGAAACTGCAGCAGCAGCAGCAACTGCTGCAGCAGCAGTAACTGCAGCTCCCTTTGATGCTGTTAATCCTGCATAATGCACATGCATATGCAGTACTAATCACATTCCTGCATTTCCCATAAATATGCTAAATTCCTTTTGATATGCAAATTCCTTTGTCAATGCGCCCAGCTTATATATATGCTCCAAGCTCGTGTGCTGTTTCATTCAGACTCTGTCGCCTCGACGGACCTGGTTTTCACCTGAGGACGGCTGCTTGCGTTGTGGCCGAAACGTCGTGAGAATTGTTTTATTATGTTTTATTTTTATTATTTTATTACTTCCCTTCTACGTGACTTTACCGAAAGAACCAAGAAGACAACACATGTAGTCAAAAAAGCAAACAAAAAGAAGCAACTCTGATAATGATAATAATATGCACTGTCCTTGAAGTTGATTGGTCCACACCCGAGACGGCTTTCTTTAGAGCCTAGTCCCCATTGGTGTTGGACCAGATGACACCAGTTTAAAAGGGTAAAAACCTACTACTATATTTTGCCACTGGTAAAAGAGATCTCATAGTGTAAATGCTTTCCCCGAGCTCTCAATACTCTGATATTGCACTGTGTTTGAGTTGTACGCCTTCTGGTGTCATCTGGTCCAACACCAATGGGGACGAGGCTCTACAGAAAGCCGTCTCGGGTGTGGACCAATCAACTTCAAGGACAGTGCATATTATTATCATTATCAGAGTTGCTTCTTTTTGTTTGCTTTTTTGACTACTTGTGTTGTGGTCATTGCAAACATGATGCCTTGAATAAAGGTGTCAGTTTTGTACCAGTTTAAAAGGGTAAAAACCTCCTACTATGTTGTTGTTGTTTGACTTGCATCCCACTGGGATTTTTGCACACAGCGTTAGTGTACGGTGCTTTTTTCTGCAATATTTTGCTGTCTTTTCTTGGATTTTCTGTTTGCACTCAGTCTCATATTCACTTTAAGATGTTTTTTTGTTCATGTTTTTGTTTTTTGTTTGTTGCGGTTGCACCCGATTCAAGAGCCGAATGGCTCACAGGGCTATACCTAGGCCTCGGCAAGGTAAGGTAATTGTATCATTTTTACCGGGTAAAAGGGTAAAGGTAAAGGTGTCGGCATGCCAAGGGGTAAGGGTAAAGGGTAGGGTAAAATGTAGGCTCGTTGCTTTTTACCTTACCTGCTAAAGGGTAAAAAGTAGAGTGATTGTATTGTGGTAAGGTAAAAGGTAGGGTAAAGGTAGGCTCGTTGTTTTTACACTTTTACCTTACCTTGCCGAGGCCTAGCTACACCTAATAAATGAACTTGAACTTGAACCTGCTTGTCACGTACACGTTGAAGCACCTGAGGCTGGAGTCAGTCAGGACGAAGTCGACAGAAATCAAGTGTGACCTTTGACGATTTTTTTGAAGGAGACGTTCTCTGGTGCAAAACGCGAACTGAGCACAATCGCCACGCCGGCGAGGTTGAAGAAGGCCCGGGTCGCCTAGGAAAGGCTGCCGTTGGGCCTTCAGAGTGGCGTCGAGGTGAGTTTCCTGAAGGAGAGCCACATCCGCTTCGTGTTCCCCGACAAAGCGGCAGATCTGGTCCCACCTCTTGTCGCTGCGAGCGCTTGTTACAGTTCAGACTAGCAACCTTAATAGCTGAAGCCATCATGTTGTTGTGTGTTGGTGGTGTTGGTGGTGGTAACAGTAGATGTGAGAAAAATAAACGGAGAAATCGGAGGTTTGTTTGCAGCGTACGAGAGCGTGGCTGAGTTCTTTATAATCTTGCCGGCTTTTTGTTTTGCATTGGTAGGTGCTCGTCAGTTGCTGATCATCTCTCCGGAAATGCCAACAGGACCGACTTGTGGAGGTTTTGGAGGTCGGCG